ATGGCTCAACAATAAAAATGGAAAAATGTCGTTTAAATGACCCTTTCACCCGTCGATATTATTATTTTATGATTAATTCAAAAATAACATGGCAAACGTTTGAAATAATTATTGTACTTATTATTGTAAAATGAAATTGTTTAAAAAAAAAGTCTTTTAAAATAATTATTAAGCTGTTAGCTTATTTAGTAACGTTTAGATTTAATTCGATTTACTCGAATTGAATTCTAATTTTTTAGTTTTCAAAACGTTTATATATTTTGTAATATTTTTATGTATTTAAACCTTCTCATTTAATTAAAGCAATGAATTTATTGATGAAATATTTTTTTCTAATGACGCTTTTTTTATAAATAATTCGCGTGACAATAACTAATTTTGAACAGAAACAAGAGTTCTTTTTTTTGCAATTTTAAAACTACATCAATCCATTGCTATTTGCAATTTTTTTTATTCCGATAATTTACTTATTTGATGTTACTGCAGTATTTTATTTATTTATTTATCCGTTACGTAATTAACACTTTTATTCGTTTAAAATATTTCTCAAACACCACATTTTATATTTAAATACACTGTTTCCACTGACATTAGCATTATTAGCAATTATTATAAAAGAATTATTTTTATAATATGTACTTATAATCTTCTGGCCACTTCGTTGGTGGAACAAAACTTTCTACTGATTCGGATGACAAGTCGACGTGTCTATGATGGGTTTGGCGACCGAAAAACTATATTCGACGTACATTGCTGGCTGAAACCAGTTTCACTAAAAGAGGTTTATCAATTTACCCGTGAGAACGCGTTTTTGAACCACTTTATTGCCGTAATCACCTAGTGCTCATCGGAAAGTGTGAGATTAAGATATTAATTGCAATCGGTTGTCTCATCTTTCAGGCTATATCGCGTGACTGCTTTGCGGTAGAAGGAAGCAAGATAATGGTGGCGATAGCCCATTATCCGGGAAATCTGCTGAGACCTTATTACTTGTGGTAGGACCTCTTATGAGTCCGCACGGGTAGGTACCACCACCCTGCCTATTTCTGCCGAGAAGCAGTAATGTGTTTCGGTTTGAAGGGTGAGGCAGCCGTTGTAACTATACTGAAACCTTAGAACTTATATCTCAATGTGGGTGGCGCATTTACGTTGTAGATGTCTATGAGCTCCAGTAACCACTCAACACCGGTGGGCTGTGAGCTCGTCCAACCTTCTAAGCAATAAATAAATAAAACTCATATTTCAAGGTGGGTGGCGGCATTAACGTTGTAGATGTCTATGGGCTCCAGTAACCACTTCACTCCAGGTGGACTGTGAGCTCGTCCACCCATCGACGAAAATAGGTTCTACCATTCTAGACCAAGTTTTACCGCGGCCTAATGGATAAGAAGCCCAGTGCGTTCGTATCGAGCGACCCGACTGTGCCAAGGTTCGAATCCCGCAGGCAGCTACCAATTATTCTGATGAAATACGTACTTAACAAACGTTCACTATTAACTTCCACGGTGAAGGAATAACAACGTGTGATAAAAATTCTAATATACGTAATTACTTGTGGTGGAGTGTCTAGTCAGTCCGCACGGGTAGGTACCACCACCTTGCCTATTTCTGCCGTGACGCAGTAATGCGTTTCGGTTTGAAGGGCGGGGCAGCCTGTACTGTAAAAACTGAGACCTTAGAACTCATATCTCAAGGCGGCATTTACCTTATAAATGTATATACCTAACCCATCGAAGAAAAAAACCATAATGCCCCCATGCTAAGATTGGCTTCTGTGTTATGTCTACCGAAAACACACGTGATACAAAAAAATCTACAATCAGACCGTGACTATCAAACCATCTTCAAGAAACATAATGACTAACAACCATTCAAACCCAGATCTCGTGACGCAGAAGACTCAACAAGAACTAGAAAGCCAAACAGACAAGTCTACGTTCGTTCCAATACCAGCAATGTACATCAGTCCGTACGTTCAAATCGATTTTGCGCGCGCATACTTTGATTTTCGTAGCCAATAAGGATGACTTAATTTTGATGTCATATAAAACAGATGAGCGTATAGGCCACCCGATCATTAGCGGGTACCGTCGCATGAGAATTACGGGTTTTTGTTTTTGCAAAATTTGTCACGTTCATTTCATATATTCATTATCATTTCTACGGTGCTCATAGACTCTTCAAGCACTGGTCTTTGTCGATTACGACGTGTGAATAAACCCATAGACACATCGCACTGAGTTCCTCGCCGGATCTTCTCAGTGGATCGTAATTCCGATCCGGTGGTAGATTCTGCGAAGCACTGCTCTTGCTAGGGCTAGTGTTAGCAAATTTTGTCAGATTGAGCCCGTGAGCTCAACTACCCGTCTGTTAGTAGCTGGAACAGCCGCTTGGGCTTCCAGCGATTAGGTAGGAAAGAAATTTATCCTTATACCATAACGTAATAATAATAATAACTTGTGATTAAATTACATCATACATATCGGTGACATCATATACTGGTGAAAGGCAATTTGGTTTAAGCGACATTTTTGCAACTTTACAAGAGAGCCATTTAAAGTTTAAAAGGACAATGCCCAAAAGTGGGCCAACTTTCTGTCAAAATTATTTGTACTTGAAAAACTATGCCTTATTTTTTCACGTTGTTTAGTTTATGTATCAACATTTCTTTCAACCTGGCATTGTTTTACAAAAAAATAAATTACTGATTTGATAACATCCCAAAACTGAGTGCCATAGTTTTTAAATTTGCCAATAGGCAAAGGGTTTAGCCCATAAAGCCTTATAGTAAACCTTTAAGCTGCCAAACGAAAGAGTTGTCTGTGACTTGAACAACAAATTAAAAAAAAATAGCTAATGGTTATAATTCAGACTTTTTAGTTTATTTTTGTTCAATTCAATTTTTATATATTGTAATAAAAATAATTATTACTTAAAACCATGAATTATTTAATATTTTTAGATATTATTGATTCCATTAGTAAAAATCTCAATGGCCTACCATTACTCTATTCTTATTATATAATATGATCAGAGAGTTTTGGCAGCAACCCGAGTGAAGCGTCACTTGAAGTTTTATTTAAATGTTTTTTTAATAGTTTATTGTGATGTATAATATATAAATTGGGTGTTGTTTTGTGTATTAAACGTCAATAATCGTTGTTCACGATTATTGAGGCATTGGAATAAAACTGTGGCTAACATAGCAGTGACTGTTTTTTTTTTTTTTCAAGATAAAAAGTCTGCGGAAATTCACGCTCACTCAATGTGCTATTCATCGAGTTGACGTCAAAACTCCCAAAAAGCAATAAAAAAAGATACACCAGCTTTTTATTGAAAAAAAATATAAATAACTACGACAGACTAGGCTGTATGGGCTACGCTCTTTGCCTGCTTATTGGCGAATTTCAAAACAACAACAACAATATCGTTGCCGGCTTCCGGATTTTCATTTCATTTTATTATTATTATGAGGATATCATAATAATAAAATGTACGTAAGGGCTTATTTCTAGCAACATTAACCACAATTAACTTATTTAATACTGTAATTAATGATGAGAGCGATTATTGATTTCGAAGAAAACAATTAACACCTTCATTTTAGCTGCAGAAAGAAACAGATTTCTCTTAAACCTGGGTGAGAATATAAAAATCGTTTTCTGAATATGAAACGATATTTCTTTGTCTATCAAATTAAGTTAAAACCATCATGACCCGACAACTTTTTTTAGGGGCCCAAACGCCCTAAGAAAATGGGCATTGTCCTTTGGAAAAAAAATATCAAAACAAAAAACTTCTTCATTTATTTGAATGGGGTAAGCTTAATTTAAGTTCAATTAAAAACATCGAACTGTTGATGCTGATACCGAATAAAATGGACCATTAATTACTAAGATAAATGTCGCTTATTAAGGGAAATGTCGCTTAAATCAAACAGCCTTTCACCTCTCGATATGTTCACCAAATGATCTTAAATTACATCAAGCAATTATTCCTTAAGTAAACACGAAATTGCATTGGCGATGAAAATTTTCATGATGAAAAAAACTCAGTGTTCGATGTTTTTGTTCATTACGAAATTCCCAATACATACTATATAGATACGATAAAGAAATGAAAAAAGCACTTGTATTTAATCTAAGCAACAGATGCAACTATTTGCATCTGTTGCTTAGATTAAATACAAGATTAAATACAATTCTATAATTCCGCGCCAAAATGGAAAACAATTTTGCCAATATAACAAAACACAAACAAACTACAATAGTTCGGAATCGTAAACAAAATTTCAATTCTCGATATCTCTATTCTATTGATACCTCGATTCTTCTTTAAGCTGAATGGACATTGCTAGTGAAATCATTTTCACTAAGACGATTTATCCAAATCGTGAACGCACAATACAAACTAAAGACAACCATAAAATAGACCTTACTTATATCAAAACTGTCAGTGTGCTTAGTGCGAGTTTTTTAACGTTCTCGCTAGCGTAAAAGTTAACTCAAACTTGTATGCAGTGGGCTGTGTCTATGGCCTGTGGGCTGATTTACTCGCCGAGCCCTTCGTCGCGAGCGACGGGTTCGACGAGAACGATGACCGGATTTTGAATGGTGAAGAACGTTAAGAATTTATATTATCTAATGCCATAAAGTTGTGGTGCGATTCATAAATGCACATAACGCCATCTAGTGATGAAGTTGGTAAGTGTATTAAATATTAAGTACGGTAAGTAAGAGTGGATCCAGGGCATCAGACAAGACATGTTTCGGACGATGGCAGCTTTGTGTCGCCCCGTCGCCTGGGTCGGATAGCGGCCACGATAAAATCGTGTCGCGTCGCTCTGTCGAAGTAGCGTTCTGACGCTACTCAAGATACTTACCTATCGGATCTAAATTCAGATTTTAAAAGAAAAAACTCGAAATAAGAAACCCTCCCCCCCTTCTTTCCTTTGCAGTCCGTTATTAATAATAATATTGCCGGGGAAAAAAACAACGATATTGTATTCAAAGTTTATTGCAAAAGGTTACCTATGTAAAATGATAACATATTCATTACTCTTAAATCTAATTATCGTTTATGGAGGGTAGAGATAAGGAGCTCCATCTTGTATAGGGGACAGGTTGATAGAGTGAGTTATTGTTCGAAGACTCACCGAAATAGCACTAGGTTTGGGAAATGGAAATGTGTGATGTGATGTGAAGTGATGTGTGTTGATTGAAATGAAGTGTGATAGTCTATGGCGCTGTTTTTAAAATCCCTCCCCTCGTTACTGTGGCGCCACCTTAATTGGCTGCCTTTCAGCGGACACTTTTTAATACACTAAGATTGTGATCCTTGCTTCTGCCCTCCATATTATCGATGTGACGAATTAATTCAATAGTGACACCTGTCAAAATTGACAGCTGTCATTCGTGCCGAGGCGGCTCCGAGCGAATTTAGCATATTAAGGGTTTGTAAAGGTTGGCCGTCGCTGCCCCCCCACACGTTGGGCTTGGCTTGGCAGTGGGTGAGAGCAACGTAGCTTGGCTCGCCATGTTGTTCGCGACGTTGCGAAGTGACATGGTAGTCTTAAGCCGACAGTAAGTCTTAGTACACTGACTGCCCTCTTCAGAGAAGCGGGTTTAGGTGTTTGGGGGGCACCATTACTTTTAATGGAAACGTGCTTATTTTGATCGCGCACTCACTAGAGGGCGCTAAACCCTTATTTCCGCTTACGGACCAGCCTCAGCAGCAGAACCACAAACTCTTATCCAGCTCATAAAGAAACAACGAAAGGTTTTTGGTCTAGAACTTAAAAGCTCAATTTCCCGGCGTCACTATTGAATCGATCCGCGCGGAGCCGGTCAGTAGACTGGGAAGTCCGGGTCGACATTTTTCGACCAGGAGTGCAATCCTCCCACCAGATCCTTCACTTTACTCCATCTCTCCTTGTCCGTCACGTCTAGAACCTTCTTTGCTACGACTTGAGAGTCGTTTCCCCGTCTACATACAAATACGACTGGAAGAGAACAAACAGACAAACTCAACCGCAATCACAAGCCGCCGTGGCCTAATGGACGAATAGTCCGCCAGTCTCGTACTGAGGCGACCGTAGTAAAAGGTAGCTAACACTAGTTCATGAATGATATGGGAGTCGCATCGATTAGATTTGCGTCATTACTGATGATGAAGCGCGCCGTGAGCCCACACCACTGCCCTGGGTGTATCTGCGTCCAACCAGCCGCTGTATGACCCAATTGAAACTTCGACTTCAATACTCAAGTTGGGTGACGTCATACGTGCTGTAATTTCCTTGAACTTAACATTGAGTGGACCGCGCACCATCGCATCCTACATCGCTAGACAAGTCGAAAAACTTCATAACTGTATCGACATTATCCATTACCAGCAACAAAGTCAATTACACAAAGAGCACAATTGCAGCCAAGTGATTGGTGATTGGAGATAGGCTACCAGACCAACCCTTACGCGCGATTTACGGGGCAACGTGTCCTCAGCACTGAGCTCATCATCAGCCTATAGCAGTCCACTGCTAGACATATGCCTCTCCAATTGCTCGCCACTGAGCACGGAACTCGGCTTCTCTCATCCAGCTCCTGCCAGCCACCCTGCACAGATCATCACTCCACCGGGCCCAAAGGCGTCCCTCACTGCGTTTACCAATTGGCGGCTGAGAACACTGAGCTTTGAAGTCGTCGTGGCTTAAAGGATAAGACGTCCGGTGCATTCGTATGTAGCGATGCAACGGTGTTCAAATCCCGCAGGCGGGTACCAATTATTCTACTGAAATACAGACCTAACAGATGTTCACGATTGACTTCCACGGTGAAGGAATAACATCGTGTAATAAAAATCAAACGCGCAAAATTATAATTTGCATAATTACTGATGGTAGGACCTCTTGTGAGTCCGCACCACGGGTAGATACCACCGCCCTGCCTATTTCTGCCGTGAAGCAGTAATGCATTTCGGTTTGAAGGGTGGAGCAGCGGTTGTAACTATACTGAGACCTTAGAACTTATATCTCAAGGTGGGTGGCGCATTTACTTGGGTTGTGAGCTCGTCCACCCATCTAAACAATAAATAAAAAAGCTCACCTCCATCAAATTCCTTGGTCTTTTCAATGAGCTCCTCCAAGTTCCGGTGCAAGTTTTCCACGGGGTAGTTGACCGAGCCCTGAATGTGGCACATCGCGTACTCCTGCTCGTTCCTAACGTCCACCACGAGATGGCGTCCTCTTCGCTCCTCGTTATTCATCATTACGTTCAATTCGTTGGCGCTGACCCGATTTCCCGGCGGCAACACCTCCAGATCTAAGTCCTGGAATCGAATTTGTGCTAAAACCACGGGCCAGTTAGAGACGCGTGATCGAGACAGGTCAGGCGGGTGATTGGAGTTGACCGTAGTCCGTGGACATCTGACGAATACCACCACACATATCGAGACATAGGATTCAAGTTTCAATATGTCTTTTGAACCAGAACACGTGACTGCTTTGCGGAAGAATTGCGCACAAAACGCTTCCCAGGTCCCAGATAAGCTGTTACTAAACCAAGATCAGTTAATTCTAGGAAAACAGTTTCTATAAGCAGTGGTTCGGATCAGTTGGTGCTGTAACCTCTTCGGGAACGATTTTTTTAAAGTACAAAACAAAAAACTGTTTGCTGTAAAGTCGGTTTACGGACGATAGTTTTACGTGATAACGTCATAAAGAAACATTGCTGAAAAATTGCATACTGTTATGAATTGAACGGAATTATTATTATTTTGTATAATACAAAGAAGGAGTTAATTGAAAATAACATTTTTTTCGATAAATTAACGGTTAGGCCGATCATGCCTCTCTATCGCTTGTTCGCGCTCTCGCTTGCACGCACGGGGTCGGACGGAACGTGACACTTTTTCGTGCTTGCAGCCGGTGTTAATCCATTTATTAGTATTTATTACGTTATCACGTCAAAAACACATATTTGTAACAAAAACTGGGGTTTCCCTATTGAGAAAGAGACGACAGAATAGTCCATCTCTTTTATTTCTCATCACTTGACGTGTTAGTGATACACATATCAAGTGTTCGAACGGGAGTTCTTTGTCGCTCGCATTATTCAATAAAATGTAAAATAAAAATAAATAAATAAATATAAATTAATAAATATAAATAAATAAAAAATAAATAAATCTACAATGATTTTTACGGATTTTCCGTTATAACTACGGAACCATGCATCCGATTGACTTGAAACTTGTTATCCATGTAGAAAATACATGTACTTAATGGATAGACTAATGTTTATACGAGTGTTGGACTCCCTACACCAGTTGTGGGGGCGTTAATGATGAGAATCTTTGTGGGGGTGAGAAATAATAATAAATATATAAATAATAAATTATATTTAATTTTAAATGCCCAGCGAAGCGGACGGGTACAACTAGTCGCTTAGGAAACTGACACTTTTTTTCTAATAATAACTAATGTTGGTATGAGGAGTATGAAATTTTCCACACTTATAGAGAATATAGAGAAGAAGTGCATAATGCTAATATTTTTTTTAAATAATGCATAAAAGATACATTAAATCAATAAAGAAAACATTACACACACTACATACCATGTATTTGACGCACACACGCAGGCATACTATTTATTGTCAAACTTTTGTTCTTGACGTCTGTTGTCAAATTGAGAATAGATTAAATATTGTTTGTTAATATTTTTTATAGTGTAGTCTTGGCGAAATTTGTGATTATAGAAGTATAAAATACAATCATAGTAGTGTACAAACTTACAATTCCAATTAATTATAGTCTAATTTCGACTACTGTGGGACCTCTAGTTCTATATAACATTTCACTAATTTCTTCACTCTAATATCCCGACAGGAATCGAGAGGATAACAAAACAAAACACATTTTATTTCGGCTCCCTATAAAAAGCGTGTTAGGGAAGGTAAGGAGATAAGCCATCCGAGGATACCGCACCGTCTCCTACGAGGCGGCGTGCTTGCTCGCCGGGGCGTCACCCTGGGATCTGGAGGCGGAGGCGCTCTTGTTGACTACAGGTGGCGTAGCGACCTTCGCTCTAGGGGGGAAGGGCGAAAATTTTGGTCACCATGGTCGAAACCGGCTTGGAACCGTGATGATGATGATAATTATGATGTTACACACAGTATGTCGGCCCGCAATGTAGGAGGCAGTACCTTCTCTATGGCCGGCGCATTGCAGAACTGCTCATAATCGATCAGGCGGCCCCCTCCGCGGTCCCCACACGCCACGCACGCGGGTCTCCTCGGACGCAACTTTACTAAAAAGCAATTGGATACTGTTACGCCGGTAAGAGTAACGCCATCTGTCATCAGATAGCAGAAACGAGTATCAAAAGAACTAGTAAAATCTAGAACGTTCGACAAGTGTAACGCCATCTATTGTCAAATAACGGAAACGCATATCGTACTACCGGGAATGTTCCCGAAAATTCTAGATTTGTCGTATCGACTATATAAGCGTTGCAGAGATGACATGAAGGCAGTTAGTTATCTGAACTACTCGAAGCGAAACAGCGAACGGATTATCTGAATTGCGAATTTTAAAGCGTTTCTTAAGTGTTCTAGGTTTTAAATAGAGTTTTAATTTGTACTTCGGTGAAAGTTTTATTTATTTCGAGCCTCAGCGCGTAACAACACGCATGATCCGCAAGTGATCGTGTGCACGCGGCGCTATTGCGACCCCACGTTTCAAGCTGGGTCACGAGCTGGTCTCAAGGAAAGGGGGCCTTGTCCCACTAGGGGGCGGGGGGGCAGCCACTCCGCGCTATCTATGTGTATTTGTAGGAGTTTGCTCTATACAAGCATTACAGTCCGTCTGATGGGACTTTATTTTTATTATTTGTTAAATAAGTGGACAAGCTCACAGCCACCCTTGTATTTATTGGTCACCAGAGCCCATAGGCATTAACAACGTAAATGCCACTATCCACCTTGAGACACGAGTCCTAAGTCTCAATTCTTATAACACACTTGCTGCCCCACAATTCATACCTTCACGGCAGAAAAAGGCAGGGCGGTGGAACCTATCCGTGCGGAGTCACAACAGTTTATATTCGTCACAAATATTTGCTCCCTACACGAGGAAGCCGCTCACTCGACACGAATTTTATTTCACCTACTCTTGCGTGGACGGTAGCGTCGCATAGCAACCGTTGCCATGGCAACCGGCGTCAAGGCAGCCGCCGTGCTACTCACCTGCCCTAAAGGTCGCGTCCTCTCCGTCGAACAGCAGCATGCGGCCGACCAGCAGGTGCCTCTCGGTCCTGCCTATCACGTACTTTATCGCCTCCAGGGCCTGCAGGGTTCCTGTGTCGAGCGACATAAACGTGGGGAATCAGAACTTTTTTTAAAGTCAGGTCATTACTTATGACGTCACACGTGGGTAACAGTACGAAGAGCTAAGCATTGATCGTTTTATTAGACTAAACTTAGACCGCGGCCCAAAGTGCGCATGTCATTATGTTTACATGCTCCAATGACCACTAGCACATGACATACCTATCTCCATGACATATCCTTCTTCAAACGAGGCTTGTGGAGAGTACTTAACGGTAGACAGCGGCTTGGCTCTGCCCTTGGCATTGCTGAAATCCGTGGGCAACGGTAACCACTCACCATCAGGTGGAGACCGCGTGCTCACCTGCATACGAGGGCAATAAAAAAAACCAATGCTCTATTTAGTCCCTATATACACAAATATGAGCGTCCTCGCTCCGGAGCACCCACCCACGGTCCCCGGGACGGGCCCGGCCACCCCGTGGGCGGAGCAGCTGCCCACCGCAGCGGGAGGGGGGGGCGTGGGGAACACGCAGCGGTAGCAAGGCCCTATGTACGTCTCCTGAAATAAAAAAAAACTATCACTAAGAAGTCTTGGATATCATATAAATCACACTGTAAGACTCGGACCAAGAATACCTCTGTGCCAACTGAGGTTAGCTTATCATTTAGGTAAGGTTGCAATGTATCGAGCCATTACGAAGGAAGTCAGTCGAATATAACTCGTCAAGTAATACTTAGTCTGGCCATAAATACTGTTACAAATAAAAATAAACAAAATATTACATTTGAATTTGGAATCTGTCATTTTTATATGATTGCTCATTGAGTTTTCTCATTTTGGCGCCAATACATTGTACAATATTTTGCGATATTAAAATGGAGTGAGGTGATAAAGAGAACCGAATCGCTGTGATTGCATTACACAAAGTAGGTATGGAGACAAATGCAATTTTTAAAACTCTCCATACGCTTGGTATTAGTAAAATGTTTGTGTACCGGGCTATTAATAGGTGCAATGAGACCTCCTCTGTTTGTGACAGAAAAAGATCTGGCCGTCCACGTAGTGCTCGTACGAAAAAGGTGGTCAAAGCAGTAAGGGAAAGAATTCGAAGAAATCCTGTTCGAAAGCAAAAGATTTTATCTCGGGAGATGAAGATAGCACCTAGAACCATGTCGCGTATTTTAACAGATGACTTAGGACTTGCAGCCTATAAGAGACGTACTGGTCATTTCTTAACTGATAATTTAAAAGAGAATAGGGTGGTAAAATCGAAACAACTACTGAAGCGGTACGCAAAGGGAGCTCATAGAAAAATCTTGTTTACGGATGAGAATTTTTTTACAATTGATCAACATTTTAACAAACAAAATGACCGTTTTTATGCTCAAAGCTCTAAGGAAGCTTCCCAATTAGTCGAGAGAGTGCAACGTGGGCACTATCCAACTTCAGTGATGGTTTGGTGGGGTATTAGCTATGAAGGAGTGACTGAGCCATACTTTTGTGAAAAAGGTATCAAAACATCGGCACAAGTGTATCAAGATACCATTCGAGAGAAGGTAGTGAAGGCCCTTAACAACACCATATTCAATAATCAAGAATGGTCCTTCCAGCAAGACTCAGCGCCAGGTCATAAAGCTCGGTCTACGCAGTCTTGGTTGGAAACGAACGTTTCGGACTTCATCAGAGCTGAAGACTGGCCGTCGTCTAGTCCCGATCTTAATCCGCTGGATTATGATTTATGGTCAGTTTTAGAGAGTACGCCTTGCTCTTAAGCGCCATGATAATTTGGAGTCCCTAAAACAATCCGTACGATTGGCAGTGAAAATTGTTCCCATGGAAAGAGCGTCTATTGATAACTGGCCTCAACGCTTAAAGGACTGTATTGCAGCCAATGGAGACCACTTCGAATAAGCTTTTTATATTTTAAATTGTTTTATATTTATGTATTAAACTAAGACACTGTAAAAGTTTCTTTTTTCCTACCGAAGCTGATAGCCTTGAAAGGCTATTTCAGCGGAACCTTAACTAGTAGGTGAGCTCACGGGGCTCAAACCTGACGAAGTTGCTAACACGAACCCTAGCAAGAGCCGTGCTTCGCAGAATCTACCACCGGATCGGAAACGCGACCCACTGAGAAGATCCGGCGAGAAACTCAGTGGGCTGTGTCTGAGCGTTGTAAAAGTAATAAATGTTATTTGCAATATAATCTTTTTTTTCCTTTGTAACAGTATTTATGGCCAGACTAAGTATATACATACAGTCGCGTTATATATTGTTACGCGCTGGAGTTCGGGATAAACAAAAAAAACTACCGAAGTGGAAAATTAAAACTGTATTAGCGTTTAGAACAATTAAAACACTTTAAAATTCTCAATTCACTTCTTCCACTTCGCTTCTGGTGATCCGTTCGCTGTTTCGCTTCGAGTAGTACCGATTACTAGCTGCGTTCGTGTCATCCCTGCAACGCATAAATAGTCGATACGACATCCCTAGATTTATCAAAAACATTCTGGGCAAGTCGAGCAGCTTCGGTGTGTCTTTCTGCTATCTGACAATAGATGGCGTTGTACTTCTCGGTCGTTCTAGTGTTACTAGATCCTTTGATATTCGTTTCGGCTATTCGGCGATAGATGGCGCTACTCTTACCGGCGTAACAATATTGTATATGAACCTCGTAAATCAATGTTCAGCAAGTGAACCCGTATCTAATAATAAATAAATAACTAAATAGCGTTTATCTTAACTTTGTCTGAACTTACACTGACATACAAAATCATAATTACCAAAAGCACAAAGCGCAAAAAAAAAGGTAAAACTCTTAATTAAATACACAAATTGCCATTAGAGATCTTTGGTCGCGCACTACATATGGTGGGGAGTGCTCATCGTGCTCTTTTCTTGGATGCTGCACCTGGTGACCTCGGGTTCGTTGTGATGCTGCTGTTGTGACCACTCGCGACCAGGGGAGCCCTGAGCTCACCTCGCGGGGATCACACATTTTCCACGTACAAAGCTAACAAGCAGCTGTCCCAACCCCCCACTGACCTGGTGATGGTCCTGTCTCCTGTACCCGTATATCGTGAGCTGCCCCTCCATTTTCAAAGCGCTTCCCGATATCAGAGGGATCTGCGAACATACACAACCACTGAAGTCGCCGTGGCCTGGTGGCTATGCCGAGGTTCGAACTCCGCAGACCAGTACCGGAATATGATAAACTTGGGTAAGTATATGTAGCACGCACGATCACCCTGTCTATTTCTGCCGCGAAGCAGTAATGCGTTTCGGTCCGAAAGGCGGGGTAACCGTTGTAACTATACTGAGATCTTAGAACTTATATCTCAAGGTGGGTGGCGCATTTACGTTGTAGATGTCTATGGGCGTCAGTAACCACTTAACACCAGGTGGGCTGTGAGCTCGTCCACCCACGTAAGAAATAAACACACGTCTTCGCTGTTCGCTTTATTAAGCCCCATCGCCATCTTGACCTTTTGTTCTCCGTCCCTTTCTTACCTATAAATACGTCCCTTTCAGCCTAAGCGTTCCGCACATATTTAAGACAGTAGGTAGCGATCGAAAAAACGATCTTTGTAACCCATAATGACCCATAATGAAGGGTTGATATCGACAACATCCCTCACCCTCCCACTGCCACGTTTCCTAACCTCGTTCGCAACAGCAGCATAGCACAACCCTTTCCTCAATCAGATTATTCTCAAAGGTCCCTCTCTGTCTTTGGAGAAGTGGCAGGAAGTCCTGGTAGGTACCACAACACCAATATTCCGTCACTTGTAATGTGCAAACTTTGACATCTAAAGCTTCCCCACCACCGCTAAGTGGTATGTCTGAGCCACAAGCTGCAACTCCGGCGACCGTAAGCGCCACTCACCTTTAGCATAACGCACAGGTCGTTCAACAGATACCTGGTCGGGACGTTGTCGCTGCAGTCGAGCACCAAGTCATAAGCTGAAGCGATTTGCTGAGCGTTCTTCGAGTCCAACTGAACGTTGTATGGTGTGATTTTAATTTTCGAGTTTATACTGAAAAATCGCCACGATTGAGCGATTAGGTTAATATCCTTTACAGAGGGTAGAACTAATGGTAGAACCTCTTGTGAGTCCGCACGGGTAGGTACCACCACCCTGCCTATATTTGCCGTGAAGCAGTAATGGGTTTCGGTTTGAAGGGCAGGGCAGCCGTTGTAACTATACTGAGACCTTAGAACTCTTATCTCAAGATGGATGGCGGCATTTATGTTGTAGATGTCTATGCGCTCTGGTAACCACTTAACACCAGGAAGGCCGTGAGCTCGTCCACCCATCTAAGTAATAAGAAAAAAGAACTCAGAAGTACCATCTTGTATAGGAGGGACCAGTTGAAAAAGTGTTCCCCTGTAAAAAGCGAGTAATTGGAAGATTCACCGAAATAGCGCTAGTGTAGGAAGTGGAAATATAATGAATATAGCAGTTTTAAACAAAATGAAGTTGAAAATAAGTGCTGGATTGAAAAACATTATTTTTTTGTGAATTGTATGGTTTCAAAATATGCAGTATTAAAAAACTCAACTATTTATTTATTCACGTAGGGTGTTTATTTCTTTCTTGATTGAAAACTTACTCTAATAGTTTATGGCGCTTCCATTTGCTGCTGTGGCGCCACCCTACAGCGGACACTTTTTAATATGCTTTCTTTACTTCTACCCTCCAAAGTATCATTGGTTTGAAATAAGGAAGACATTTGTATTATATTATTTGTCGTATTCTCAGCGGAACTACATACACCGCGCTCACAACAGAGCCTCTTGTGAGCCCGCACGGGTGCTACCACAATCCTCCCTATTGCTGCGAAGTCACAAGTACCAGTTCCAAGAGTGGGACAGTCGTTATAATATACAATTGAGACTAATATCCCATATCGCAACATAGGTGGCAATGTCGCCCGTGGACATCAGCAATGGTAGGTGTGCACTGATGCGGCTAAATACCTACCACATTTGTAATTTTTGTTAATAAAAAAGTCTCTTTTTGAAATGTAATGAAAGTCGATGTAACGAAAAAGAGACAAGACACTATAAGAATAATATGTAAAATAATTATCAAACTTTGTATCACTATGATAATTAATAAAACCTAAAATTATCCTCTTCCCGAAATTTTAAATTCGTCTCATTATCTTGAAGCCACAAAATTTTAGATGGCTTCACTTCGACCACGCCTGAATTGCACACTTTTGTATTATATTTTTTTGACATCTCAATTTTCTCGCGCCTAACGAGCGACGTCAGTTTGACAGCTGTCAGTTTTGACATCTGTCATCGCTATATGTTCCGACCGCGACGGAGTGTTCACGTAACGCACCATCTCAGAGACTCAGCGGCCGAGAACGCCTTGCTGGTGTTCTCGTTGCTTTCATGGTGCAGCAGTTGTCTGTGCACGTTGGTCAGATCCACCGCGTCATAATCCACGATGCCTATTTCGCCTGAAAATTCAATAAAAATACCTTCGAAATATAAAACAGCACACTGAGTTTCTCGCCGGATCTTCTCAGTGGGTCGCGTTTCCGATCCGGTGGTAGATTCTGCGAAGCACTGCTCTTGCTAGGGCCAGTGTTAGCAACAATCCGGTTTGAGCCCCGTGAGCTCACCTACTCGCCCGGTTACGCTAACATAGCCTCTCAAGGCTATCAGGCTATCACAATTTCAATTATAGGTCAGCCAGTATGCATATAAATGAGACTTCGAACGAGCCTCCACATTATGATACCATTCATCATGGCAACAAATATAAAGACAAGTCATGCAACATTCCTTTATATACAACTAGCTTTTGTCCGCGACTGCGTCCGCGTGGAATAGTTACTTTAGCATAACGCTAAATTTTACCCCCCACTCCATTTACGTAAAAAGTGAAAATATTTTGAAGCATTCTTTATTGGTGTTCCACTTGTATTGGTCTTACCGTGATGTTATATAGCCTATGGCCTTCATCAATATATGAGCTATCTGACCATGAAATAATTTTTCAAATTGGACCAGTAGTTCCTGAGATTAGCGCGTTCAAACAAACAAACTTTTCAGCTTTATAATATTAGTATAGATAGATTAAAACCATGAGGCCAGTTTATAGTGACCTTACCAATGCCCGCCCCGGCAAGGTACATGGCAGCCGGACATCCCAGGCCGCCGGCTCCCACAATCAGTACTTTGGCAGAACAGATCTTAACCTGTCCTTCGACGCCGATGTCCGAGAGAAGGATCTGACGACTGTACCTGCAAAAGTATACCAAGCCAGTCAGATCTAAAGAGCAACAAGTCTGATGCTTTAATAAAATTAAGATAAGGGAGAGAAATTTGACTTAAAAAAATGTGGTTTTAATTCGGCATTAACAATGCTACCAACAAAAAAACAGTTCTCTGTTTTATTTCTCGCCGATTTTAATTATTTGAATGCTTTATTTTGAAACGAAGTTCCTTATGGGACGATGCGGAGGTGTACCCTAACCGGGGAAAAACGTCCGTAACATAAGATTTTTATTAGTAATGCACACAGTGTACGACTTAACTTTGTAATAACATACAAAAAATAAAACATATTTTTTTATCATTCATTGACCACGATCTCAGAGCGTTCGTTTGCGCAATACACTAACTCTTATGCAAACAACCGTGAATGAAGTGTACCACAATAAGTTCGCACGTTACCGAATGACCGTGGGTTGTTGCGAAACCTCCAGTTTTATTTTCTTTATACCTCGAATAGAACTTAAAATTAATATTTGTATAATAAGGAACTTCGTTCCTATCCGGTGTCCCACGACACCACACATTTTTTTTTAAAGGACACCACATTGGAATGATACTATCATGTTGAGGGATAAAAGACTATTTTATTGTCTTAAGCGACATTTTTGTAACATCTCCTGTAATGTTAAACAAAACAGACCTTTAATTACAAAGATAAATGTCGCATATTAGGCTAATATAACTTTTCACCGCTTGTATACATGTTGATGATGAGTAATCTGAGAAAAATGTTGTTTTTTATTTTTATTGCCCTCGTAGGCAGACAAGCATACGGCCTACCTGATTGTGAGTGACTACCGTCGCCCATGGACTTCAGCAATGCTAGGAGCCGAGCCAAGCGGCTGCCTACAGTTTTACAGGCTACAATGTGCCAAAGGATACAGACATTTGTACTTGGGTAAAGTTAATGAGGCAGATAACTGACTAAAGTACATTCGGAACATATGATTACAATTTTTTTATTTTATTGCCCTTGTAGTCAGACAAGCATACGGCCCACCTGATGGTGAGTGGTTAAGGCGCCCATGGACTTCAGCAATGCCAGGGGCAGAGCCAAGCCGCTGCCTACCGCTTAATACTCTCCACAAGCCTCGTTTGAAGGAGGACATGTCATAGCGCTCGGGAAACACCGTGGAGGGGAGCTCATTCCATAGCCGGATGGTACGTGGCAAAAAAGACCTCTGGAAACGCACTGTGGATGACCGCAGCGGCTCCAGGTAGTATGGATGAACTCCACTCCGGTGGCGGGCGGTGCGATGGTAAAAACGAGATGCCGGTATCATCTCGAACAATTCCTCAGAGCACTCTCCATGGAACATACGGTACAAAATACAGAGGGAACTGAAATCCCTCCGTAGACCCAGAGGTTCCAAACGATCCGTGAGCATGGGATTATTATAATTAAAAAGCAACATGCCATTGACAGACCGACCAATCCAGAGATTGACTGGAGCATCGTTGTAATATAAATATCGCTTTTTTTTATTGCTTAGATGGGTGGACGAGCTCACAGCCCACCTGGTGTTAAGTGGTTACTGGAGCCCATAGACATCTACAACGTAAACGCGCCACCCACCTTGATATATTATAAGTTCTAAGGTCTCAGTATAGTTATATTATTATTAACGGCTGCCCCACCCTTCAAACCGAAACGCATTACTGCTTCACGGCAGAAAAAGGCGAGGCGGTGGTACCTACCCATGAGGACTCACAAGAGGTCCTACCACCAGTAAAAAAAATTATTAATGTATTAATGTCGCTCATACAATTTATACATTGGCAGGTAATTAGTTAGTAATAATTTCCGTCATGAATATTACCTTTCTATCGCCCATTTCGGAAGACAGCCATCTACTGATGATTTTGAAGCATCACTTATCGGCTGACTGTGATTATTTAATTCTTTACTTGATTGTTGATCCTAAAAGTAAATTTTATGCCAGTTTAGTTACACCATTTATAACTCAAGAACGGCTGAACTGATTTGGCTGAAAATTGGTGAGGAGGTAGCTTAGAGCCAGGAGAAGGACATAGGATACTTTTTATCACATTCCGTGGGACGTGACATAAAACGTGGTATAACAAAACGCAACCGATATGGAATAACAAAACGCAACTGACAGCTAAACGTTCTATGGTTAAATTTTGAAGTTGACCGGTTGATGTGTTTGAAACAAACCGTGTGGCGGCACAAAGCTCGCCGGGTCCGCTAGTTGATTATATTAGCAAACCACGTCTTCAGAGAAATTAATGATTTGTTTGGATAAGCAATGGCACTGTTCTCAGTTTAAAATTGTTGGTTTTATTGCCTGGAGCATACGGCTCACCTGATGGTGAGTGATTACCGTTGCTCATGGACATCAACAATGCCAGGGGAGGAACCAAGCCACTGCCTAACGCTTAACACTTTCCACAAGTCTCGTTTGAAAAAGGACATGTCATAGCACTCAGGAAACACCGTAGAGTGGGAGCTCATTCCCAAAAACGGATGGTATGTGGCAAAAAGCTCTCTGGAAACGCGCTGTGGATGACAGTAAGTATCTTCAAGCGGTGTCGATGCGCCACTTCGATAAAGCGGCACGACACGAGAACCCTCTCATCGTGGCCGCCGGTAACTACATTCCCGATCCTGCAGACAGAATGGAAAGCAGTCCACGTCGCTCCAAACACGTCACTTCGGATCCTCCCGATCCACTAACGGTGCTATTGGGTACCTCAAGCACCGGTCATCGTTCTCGTCGAACCCGTCGCTTGCGACGAAGGGCTCGACGAGTCATCGTCATCATCATCATCATCCTCAGAGCACTCCCCATGGAACATACAGTACAAAATACAGAGGGCACCAAAGCCCCTGAGCAGACCCAGAGGTTCCAAAGATCCAGAGAGGGAATGGGATCATCAGTAGGCACTGATAATTCTAAGTGGTAAATTTTTTAGACCAATTAATAAACTTTTTCCAAAGGCTATAAGCCTTCTAGTTTTGATTGGAAATCAAATTTAAATATTAACTTGCATGATGTGTGCAGGAACCATTCAAAATCAAACCTCAGTCTGAAATGTCTGTGTATTATGTGTCTATATTTATGTATTAATGTAAAGAAAAACCTTTAAAACTATTTAATATTAAAAAAAGGGTTTTCTTATCTATATCTATCTATATCACTTACTTGTCTGTCATTGAGTAAAAGGAGCGTTCAGTTTTGTATACTGTTTTAAAAGAGATTCATTGCTTTAAATCTTCTTTCCTTAATACATCACAGAAAACACAATTTGTTGTTTATTCATTCTGAAGTATTTCATATTATTATACTACTAATGTAAAATTTGGATGCATATTTACTGTGTAAATGTGCGAAGTTTTCGATATAACAAGAACTTCACTCAAATTTAATCTTGGAATTTTCTTACTAAAGAGTATTCTTACACCGTGGAACCCCTATGTGGGCAGGGGGCAGAGCCTCCTAAGAGGTTCCTGCGCCATGAAGGGGATGTGGGACTGCATGTTCTGCAGATGTCATTTCCGCAAGTTTTAAACAGATCTTCTACTTGTCCTTGGCTTGAACGAAAAATGCTTCTAACTATTTTGTCCCTAGATCTTGTAGGTTGTATGATACTAAATTCTCTAATGCTGACATCTTTTGTTTATTACTCCCAGCATATAGAAATGCTATTTTGGAATATTTATAAATTAATGAAGTCCGATGAGTATTATTAAGTTTTAAAGTGTAAGTAAATGTACATATGTGCGTATTGTGTTGCTTTTGTTTTTTTGTTCTGTTTTTTGTGTAAACTTAAATTTCCAAATTTCTCTCTGTTCACTTTCTACCTATATGTGATTGTAATGGTGGAAACTTGTTTGGTTATAGTTTTTGCTATCTTTTTCAATATTATATGTTTGTTTTGAACTGTTCGTTTCCCAAATAAATGAATACATAAATGTTAGGAGCGAACCGCGAGTTAAAGAACTTGCGACAGAATTGTTTTTTTTAATTGTTTTTGTTAAATTTCTGGAAATATTACATTTTAAAATTAAGTCAATAGAGTTTTAATTTTTAACAGCTCAGTTTAACAGTTCTGTTGTGTTTGTCGATCATACACAGTTGTTTCATATACATATTTGCAATTTAAATAAGATCTGCTTACACTAATCAAACTTTTTAATTCCTGAAGTTCATTTTCCTTTTCCTTTAAAATTCTGCGAAGTTCTGATATTTCCGTCTCTAAAACACTGACTCTGTCCATTTCGTATCAATTTAATTATATTTTTTCGTGAACAACAACGACAAGAAAATACACACTCAATAACATACGGCACCTATCTACTGTTTGCACTTTGCTAATTAGACAACTTAATTATCACCTACACACCTACAGTCTACACCAAATATAATAAGTGTATAATCTATGGTCTACACATATTAAGCGTATAATCTATGGTCTACACACTCCACACAATACATTAGTAGTAGTGAGACTTTTTGGCGGGAACGCGAGGAGTGAAGTTGTGCGATTTGTTTTATTATGTCTATTTAGTGTTTCTTCAGGTTTAAATGTGTAATAACGGTGGTTTATTAACTGTTTCGGATGAAATATAATCTCAGTAAAATGGTGGTCGCTTACTGAGATTTTTTCAGCGGACTTTTTGGAGGATCCCGAGAAGTTACGTCCAGCGGCTTTGTTTCATTTTCCCACATTTGTGGGATACAGATACTAAACAGTTAATAAACCACCGTTATCACACATTTAAACCTAAAGAAACACTAAATAGACAAAATCAAACCAATCACACAACTTCTCTCCTTGCGTTCCCGCCGAAAAGTCCAAACCCCAAAAGCATATATATAAAATAATATATATATTTCATAGGCCTAGGTTTTATAATTCAATGATATATTTATATTACCGTACTGTTTGACACAGTTTTATAGTACCGTACCACCGTAGTTGTGGATTTAAATAAAGATGTCAAATACAACAAAAGTTTTATTGTAGCCTGTGGGCCTTTTTGAAGTTTGGCTTATTTGTCTTTTTTTGGAGTTTACTCCTTTAGAATCGATTTACATATATAGGCCCGGGGTATGAAAATTATGGGGACCAAAATCGTACTAGCATGTCACACGAAATGCGTTATGCGCCTGCGCCGGCAGTCCGCCACAAAGCCTCGTACTGATCGCGCGTTTCTCTCATTATTGTATTTTCATATATTTGTTAGTCGTTTGTTTTGTGTCTCGTTAATTTGTTAATAATCTGTAGTGTATCGTGTTGTCGTAATATAGAACTATTTCTCGTATTGTTTCGTTTAATTCTGTTGCGTTGTAATTTGTTTAGTATCCGAGTAAACGTGCCGGAGTGCGGCGTCGGAGCGGGACACGACGCGCCACCCACTTTGTTTATTTCCGTTGGAGGCAAACATACCCCAAGATAGAGTATGTCACTACGGTGTGGTTATATGAGTCTCCTATTATCAAAGGTGGGAAATCTGTGCATTTGGAGCAAAGAAAAAAAGTGTGTGTGTCCGCTCCGACCGGCACGCTGGAGTTTACTGGATATGAAAAAATTAAACGAACGAATGACGAGGAAATAGTTCTATATTACGACAACACGAACATACAGATTATTAACAAATTAACGAGACACAAAACAAACGACTAACAAATATATGAAAAATAATAATGAGAGAAACGCGCGATCAGTACGAGGCTTTGTGGCGGACTGCCGGCGCAGCAGCCCGGCGTCACCTGCGATAACGCATTTCGTGTGACATGCGCAATCAGGCGCATAACGCATTTCGTGTGACATGCTAGTACGATTTTGGTCCCCATAATTTTCATACCCCGGGCGCGGTATATATGTAAATCGATTCTAAAGGAGTAAACTCCAAAAGTGTTATTGATATTGTCAAGAATACAGAGTATGGATTGAAGTATAATCGTCTCCTTCAAAGAATACGGTTCAAAACCTGCATTAAATAAAGGTTAATAGTTAACCTGTTATTTATCTAAGATGTCGTTCCGAAGAGTTTTGTGACTGCCAATGGAATACAAAGTCAATAATTCATACGTCAATACTCATATGTGAGTCGACTATTATCAAAGCCGGCAATCTGACTTTTGGATAATTATTGGTAAATCAGAAAAACGAATTATTGACTTTGTATTCCATTGGCAGTCACAAAACTCTTCGGAACGACATCTTAGATAAATAACAGGTTAACTATTAACCTTTATTTAATGTAGGTTTTGAACCGTATTCTTTGAAGGAGACGATTATATTCAAATCAATCTGTATTGACATATCAATAACATTTTTTTGTCCAAATGCACAGATTGCCACCTTTGTTATTAGACGACTCATGTATTGTAATGAGTAATGTATTGTAATATGTATTGGCCATATTTCCTTTGCCCACTCAATCTCGGAAATAAGCAACCAAATTAATGTTCTCGTTCTCATTCATTCGTTTCATTCATAGTTCTCGTTCAAAAAATAAGGTTAAATTGTATGCCCAATCTAACTTTCGATATTTTGTACGTTATATTACCAAAGGCTTGGTAGCAAAAATTAAAATTTGTAGAAATAAAAAATCAGCAAAGTGATTTTATTTCATTTAAATTGCGTTCAAATTAAAAAAGAACTTATTACTTTGTGTATATACCGTATTCGTAAATACATTAATAAAAAGGAGTTCGTTACGAGGTGAGTGTTTACGTTTTAAATTTTTGAAACTGTTTTTAATATTTACCAAAATTTAAAAATAAAAACGAGATCGTAAATATATTTTTAAAAACGTTCAACAAAGTACAAAAAAAGTTCGCTGTAAACGCTACCCGAAATATTATCTTAGGACATCGAAGTTTACAATCCGTGCGTACCTATGGAGTCTTATATCGTCGTAAAATTAATTTCCTTATCCACATATTCTTAAACGAAGTTAACTAAATCGGATTTAAAACCAAACACTTAGCACTAGAGCTTAAAGTCAAATTCAAATTTCGAAAAGTGAATAATGTCACTAATGGTCAAACGAAAGTTAGCGGCAGTATTATGACCTGGAAAGTGTCTGGCAAAAGGAAGAGAGGCCGCCCCAGAACAACTTGGCGTCGCTCGGTGGAGCAGGAGCCTAGGGGTCTTGGGCATGACGCGGGAGGAGCTAGAACAGACTGCCCAAGACTGATGTAAATGGAAAAATTTGATTCGAGCCCTTCACCCCAGCAGAGAGTAATAGGAAAGAATGATGATGGTTATAACAAAACTAATACAATAATTAGAAACGATCATTCGATTTTCTATTTTTTTCCCTATGTATTCGCTGATAACCTAAAGAGCTAGCGGGCAGCTGAGCTTACTGGTTCAACCTGAGAGAATTTGCTAAGCCTGGCCCTAGCAAGAGCAGTGCTTCGCCGAATCTACCACCACCAGGTCAACAAAGTTTAGGTATTAACAAAGTTTAAACGTGAAACAAAAATTGAAAGCAGCTACATGAAAAATGTGGAAAATAAAATAAATCAGAAAATGTAACACATTTATATTGATATTTACATATTTCATTTTCCTCTTAAAGGTAGATCATAAATGCAGTGTAATGTAGATCAATTAATTGTTAAAACTTACTATGTTAACCTTTGAAAGGGCTGAAGTCTGTACTAGGTTCAAAGACATGTGTTACCGATCTCTTTCATTTTTTTTTTTTTTTTTTTTTTCCGGGCCTAGGGCCGAACCTCCTACGAGGTCCCCGCGCCTAGGGGGCGCGCGGGGTATGTGAGACTCAACGATCTGCAGGTGTTGAGAGCAGACCGCGGGCCCAAGGAATTTAGGGCCCACCCACTAAACGACTCGCCTGCACTCTTACACCCGGCGTCCGATCTCCGTCCGGGGTCAAAACCCGGTCAGAGTAGGGGGGTCCCCGCGGTCAACACTACAACCAGACACGCGGCGCCACCCCGAGGACGCCCGACCGACGGGTCGTCGAGGCGATAGTCGACGACCAACGATGTCAGTCTCCGCGGTACGGCGGCCCTTCAGGCCGCCCGGGCGATGCCGCTGGTGTTCCGGGATACCCCGCTGGGCCAGAACCAGCCTGCCGGGTCGGAACGCGATACACCGCCGACCGGGTTGCTCTTCCACAGTATGTTCGGCGACGACAGCGACGACGAAAATGCGGACCGCATCGCAGTCCGCAGCCGCCGACGNCCTAGGGGGCGCGCGGGGTATGTGAGACTCAACGATCTGCAGGTGTTGAGAGCAGATCGCGGGCCCAAGGATTTTAGGGCCCACCCACTAAACGACTCCCCTGCACTCTTACACCCGACGTCCGATCTCCGTCCGGGGTCAGAACCCGTTCAGAGTAGGGGGGTTCCCGCGGTCAACACTACAACCAGACACGCGGCGCCACCCCGAGGACGCCCGACCGACGGGTCGTCGAGGCGATAGTCGACGACCAACGACGTCAGTCTCCGCGGTACGGCGGCCCTACCAGGCCGCCCGGGCGGTGCCGCTGGTGTTCCGGGATACCCCGCTGGGCCAGAACCAGCCTGCCGGGTCGGAACGCGATACACCGCCGACCGGGTTGCTCTTCCACAGTATGTTCGGCGACGACAGCGACGACGAAAATGCGGACCGCATCGCAGTCCGCAGCCGCCGACGCGTCGTCCCGTCCTCCTGGTGCCAGCGCGCTAGAGTGACGGTAGCGTGTGGCGCAGTCTCAACCCCCTTAGGTCGCCCCGTGACCATCACCGGGAGGAGACTGCCTCCTCATAGGACTGATCTCTTTCCTAGGTTAAGTTGTGTACAGATGTCCGAGCTAATTCACCATCAGGTGGGCCGTGTGCTCGTCTGCCTACAAGGGCAATAAAAAAAATCTAGTATAACCCCTCGAGGTTACCAGAATAGATAGGAAAAAAAAAGTGTGTGTGTCCGCTCCGACGCACGACTGGAGTTTACTGGATATAAAAAATTAAACGAAACAATACGAGAAATAGTTCTATATTACGACAACACGATACACTACAGATTATTAACAAATTAACGAGACAAAACAAACGACTAACAAATATATGAAAATACAATAATGAGAGAAACGCGCGATCAGTACGAGGCTTTGTGGCGGACTGCCGGCGCAGGCGCATAACGCATTTCGTGTGACATGCTAGTACGATTTTGGTCCCCATAATTTTCATACCCCGGGCCTATATATGTAAATCGATTCTAAAGGAGTAAACTCCAAAAATAAAAAAAAAAATAAAAAAGTGTGTGTGTCCGCTCCGACGCACGACTGGAGTTTACTGGATATAAAAAATTAAACGAAACAATACGAGAAATAGTTCTATATTACGACAACACGATACACTACAGATTATTAACAAATTAACGAGACACAAAACAAACGACTAACAAATATATGAAAATACAATAATGAGAGAAACGCGCGATCAGTACGAGGCTTTGTGGCGGACTGCCGGCGCAGGCGCATAACGCATTTCGTGTGACATGCTAGTACGATTTTGGTCCCCATAATTTTCATACCCCGGGCCTATATATGTAAATCGATTCTAAAGGAGTAAACTCCAAAAATAATTAGAAATAAAGAGGTTGCACTAAACAATACGATAAGCTAAACAAAGCGACCCAATGATAATGATAATGATCCCAAATTCAAGTTCGAAGTCTAGATTCGAATCCAATAGAACCCCTTTGGCAGGAACTTAATTGCAGAATAAAGATTGGATATTATTCTAAAAAAGACTATGAAGATCGAATCCAACAAGTGACCAGCTCAGGTGTGGTCTGATGCTGGTAAAAAGTCAAAGCACATCCGACTAAATATTGATTTTCTTATTACAGTAGCCAGTAAAAATATGTACTATTTTTTTTAATTCAATTATGTCAAAATAATTTGGTGAAACCACATGAAAAAAAATTACACCCTCATTATTTTGATAACAGGGTTACTGGTCGCTATTTTGTAAAACATTCAATATTCTATCAATAAGAAAATTACTGATTTTTTAAGTTCCATATTTGTTGCTAATTAATTGAATTCAGATCTTTGGTAAAATTATTTCCAGTGTCTATACTATTGATAATTTACTTCTCAGTATGTCCAACTGTCCTGCCTATTTCCTCCACAAAGCAGTAATGCGTTACGGTTTGAAGGATGAGGCAGCTGTCGTACAATCAAACTCAGACTTAGAACTCATGTGTCAAGGTGGGTGTCGGTACTTACGTTGTTGATGTCTATGGGATCCAGTACCCACTAAGTAGGAACAACCACTGGAAGTACTATAACTTGAAATTGTGCATATGCCCCTTTCAGGTATGAAATAAATATGGAGACAATGGAAGACGACATTGACATTGAAGAGCACGATCTGCTGGACAACCCGAGGATCAGAGACATCTTCCCGGACCTGGGAATTGTTAAAGAGGAACCCCAAGAATTATACAGCGACCAAGGTATGGTTCTAACGGTTGTCAGCTATCGGATATATTCTGATCTTACATGGGCTGATGTCATGGGTTCTGGTTTGAAAACTATCCCAAAACAGTTAAAGACTTCATTTTGTTTATTTAGAACATTTAATTTCATTTAGTGTCAATAGATTAAAATTGGATAATAATTTTGGAGTTCTTTGAAGTCGTCGTGGCCTAAAAGATAAGACGTCCGATGCATTTGTATCTAGCGATGCACCGGCGTTCGAATCCCGCAGACGGGTATCAATTTTTCTAATGAAATACGTACTTAACAAATAAATGTTCACAATTGTCTTCCAAGGTGAAGGAATAACATCGTGTGATAGTAGACATCAAACCCGCAAAATTATAATGTGCGTAATTACTGGTCGTAGGACCTCTTGTGAGTCCGCACGAGTAAGCACCACCATCCCGCCTATTTCTGCCGTGAAGTAATAATGCATTAGAACTTGAATCTCAAGGTGGGTGGCGCATTTACGTTGTAGATGTTTATGGGCTCCGGTAACTACTTTACAGCAGGTGGGCTGTGAGCTCGTCCATCCATCTAAGCAATAAAAAAAAAACTATTACTTGTAATAATTAATATTTGGGATTAGTGTATATTAGTGACTAGGGCCATTGAAAGACACACACACACATAATGTAGTGGGTCCAGTCAGAGCGGCCACCACCCAATGTTGCTCACGTTTCAGATTCGTACGCAGACCACGAGCACTTCGGCAATGCGCTGTTGTACGAAGAGTCGGAGCACGCGGACGATGTGGCCCCGACGTACGACCTCAACGCGGACGCGCTGCCCTACGGCTCGCAGTCGCCGGAGAGCGCGCAGAACTACTCGCAAGCGTACGCCACCCAGAGCCACGTCATCATACTGGGTACCAAGCCGTCGTCGGAGTCGCTGCCTAAGGAGAGGCTCCCGGTCAGCGTACCGCTGGTCGACTGGGCGGAGGTCCTGAGCAGGAGCCCGTGCTTCTGCAGCGACTGCGGGACGCTCTTCCCGACAGAAAACGCCCTGGACGCCCACAAAATGTCCTCGCATTCGTTCCTGGTCGCCATAAACAATAACGTCGCCAAGAAGAGCACGTCCGCTCTGTCCGAGAAGGGCCGCGGCGAGCTGTGCGACGTCAGGACGAACAAGTGCAACCACTGCGACACGTACTTCGCCGACGGCACCGCGCTCATCAAGCACCTCTACGAGCTGCTGCCGTCCAAGAACGCGGCCGTCGGTCCCCCCGTCGGGGACCCGCGGGCCCCCGCAGAGAAACCTCTCTGGACCGGACCCCGCAAATGCTTTAAATGCGATTTGTGCAACGAAATATTGCAAAGTAAAGTTCAGGCTAAAAGACACAGGGACTCGAAACACCCGAATATGCAGAGACGTAAAATATTTCAAATAATATACAGGAAGCATAGTAACCACGTGGGCAAGGCGGAGCGGTCTCCGGCCAAAGCCCCCGGGGAGTCGGCCGGGGACAAGCGGTCTCCGCAGACTCAGGTATTCAAGTACAAGTGCACCAGCTGCCACATGTGGCTGGACAGCTCGTACCTGGCCCGGACGCACCGCGCCTACCGACACCCCGAGAAATACGGTCAATTCTTGTTCAAAAAGTATGTTTGCAAAAATAAAACCAACCCGAAAACGAGTAAATCAGTGATAAACAATAAAGTGAGTGCCGCGAAGTCGAAAGCGATTGTGGCCGCCACCAAAGTCGTCGCACCGGCCGCAACTAAAGTCGCCGACAGCGGCGAGTTCCTCTACCGCTTCAGCCGCGGGGTCCCCATCCGGAACCCGCCCATACAGCACGCGCTGCTGTACCGCTGCCTGCAGTGCGCCGTGCACTTCGTGGTGGGCTACTCCATCATTAACCACTTGAAGCAGTGCCGCCGGACCACGCCGCACGAGACCTGTGCCACCTGCCGCCGCAAGGTGTACCGCAAGGACGTGGAGATGCACCGCCACCAGCACGCCTTCGCCGACAAGTTCAAGATATACACGAACATCGACTGGAACTTCTACAAGAAAATTATGTGCCTGTGCCCCAAGTGCAACATCTACTTCAGCGAGTACCGCTTCTGGACTCATTACACGGAGCACCCCGCCGAGGTGGAGTCCCGGACCTGCGAGGAGTGCCACATCGAGATCAACAAGTCCTGCTACTCGTTCCACAAGAACTACCACCGGCTGTACAACTTGAAGCGCAAGGACATAGTCCTGGTCGAGTTCAGGAAATACGAGGACATCGGGACCAAGCGCAAGTCTAGCTACCCCGCGCTGGCGAACAAAAAGATCAAACTGGAGTCCAGTTCAGAGAGAGACGAAACCAGTCTAAGGCTGTTCTACTGCAGCACCTGTCGCTGCTGCAGCCACCGCCTCATGAACAACGACATCCACTTCAGTAGGAGCTGTCGCAACCGGCCGCGCCACCGCTGTGACATCTGCGGCCTGTGCTTCCTCAACAAGGGTCTCAGGACCCACAAGAGGTGGCACAGCCAATACAAGCTTTCGCTGAACAACATCAAGTTCCAATCGCACAACGGCGACCCCGTGGTCCCGGAACCGCCACGCTTTGAGCAGTGCGGCAAGTGCGGCCTGCACCACCTGCGCACGGGCCACAGCTGCAAGGAGCGCGGCCACTTCTGCCGCGACTGCCGGGCCAGGTTCACGGCCGGCGCGTACAAGCTGCATCGTCCGTTCCACGAGCTGAAGACCAAACACGACAACAAGGAGCTGCACAAGATGTGGAACATGGTCTACCACTGCGAGGTCTGCGAATTCGGCTTCGACTCCTACGACCATGCCGTGGCCCACAGTCAGCAGCACCTGCTGTGCGAGGATACGGAGCAGCTGTGCGAGCGCTGCGAGGTGTGCGACCTCAAGCTGCACCTGGACTGCATGGACCGGCACCGGGGGCTGCACGAGAACCGCACCCTCAACAAGAGCGACTTCCTCATCCTGAACTTTGATTACAAGAACTTGCTGCACGACAAGTGGCTGCAGCTGTTCGGGCGATTGCCGCAGGCCGCGGTCCGCGAGGTGGTGCGCCGCTCGCTGCACGGGAGCCACCGCGGCGTCAAGCTGCGGCTGAAGGAGGACGGGCCCGCGGAGTACACGATTTACTTCTGCAACGGCTGCGAGATCTGCATCGACGACGCCAACGTGTCCCGCCACGCGCACAAGAGCTGCAGGAAGAATGAGAGGAAGTACCACTGCAGCAGGTGCGCCCTGCACTTCGACAACAGCGAGAACTACGCGAGGCACGAGCGGGACCACGGGGCCACGGACCGCTTCAGGATCGTCGAGTTCAAATACGAGACGGACACGCGGGAGCACGGGGAAGAAGTTCCCGAAAGAGACAAGCTGACCTTTTACAGCTGCGGCAACTGCAAGGTGGCCATGAGGTTCCAGTGGAGCACCTCGAAGCACCGCTGCAACGATGAGGAGGTCGTGGCCTGCGACCAGTGCGGGCTCCACTACTACGCGCGGAGAGCGCCCCGGCACGAGCTGCTGCACAGGAAGTTCCCGGACTTGTCCAGGGACCGCGTGGTGCAGCGGCCCTTCTCCAACGCCGAGAAGAAGCTGGTCTCCGTGACAGTGCACAAGTGCCCGTGCGGCCTGCACCTGCCGTCGCCCGCCGCCGCCGAGCAGCATGTGCGGGACTGCGCGCTGGAGCGGGGCCCGGCCGCGACCTGCGACACGTGCGGGCTGCTGTTCCCGGTCGCCGCGCTGCCCCAGCACCGTCGCGCGCACCACACTGCGCCCGCCAGGATCCAGGTCGAGAACGTGCCCGTGCTGGTGCTGTACGAGTGCGAGGTCTGCCGCCTGCTGCTGCACAGCCGCCGCGAGCTAGCGCAGCACGAGTGCGGTGCCGGCGCCCAGGCCTGTGCGCGCTGCGGGCTGCGGCTCCACCCCTCCGCCGTCGAGACGCACGCCGCCAAACATGAGACCAACGAGTACGGCTTTTTTTTCAACAACATCGTCAAGTTGCCTTTGGCTAGAAGCACTAGCGAGAAGAAGGAGGGGAGGTCCTCGGCCGCGAGCGACGCGGGCCCAGTCGGCTCCAGCGTGCCGGGCGCCTCCCCCTCGCCGGTCCCTCCCGCCCCCTCCCCGGCACCCCCCACCGACGGGCCCCGGCCCGGCCCGGACGGCGAGTACAAATTCAAGCTGTACAAGTGCCGGGAGTGCGACGTGCACTTCACGGACGAGGGCTCGTGCCGGAGCCACGTGGCGCGGCACGAGCGGCTGGGCGAGGCGGAGTACATCGGCTGCAAGCTGTGCGGCCTGCAGTTCCTGGTGGCGCAGCTGCACGGCCACGTCCGGAGCCACCACGGCACCCCCGTCCGCCTCCAAGAGATGCTGGTGGAGGAGCACTGCGCCGCCGACCGACTGCAGTCCAGAACGGTCAGCTCCACGAGGATCGAGAAGACGGTCGATTAATTTTGCGGGATGCAGCAGAACAGATTCGTTTGTGAAGAGCGTCATGAGTCCGGTATATGTATCTCGTTTTGTTGCAACATCCGGTACGGACGGATGATAATGAAAATAAAATGGTGAAGTTTTCGATTTGCGTGCGCGATACACGAGCAGACAGTGTCCGCTGATTAGTACAGTGACGTCATCGTATAAAGCCGTGATTTAAATTTGCGACGCAGCGTTTAATTGCACAATATCCGGACCCCCCGGCGCTCGGTGGGAGGGGTCCCCTGTGCGCTCCCCCTCCACTGGTGACTGTCGTTCCCGTAATGTCGAGACAACAAATTCCGATTTTGTATCTATGTATATAATCTAGTGTTTTTCTGTTTGTCTCGACCTCCCATATACATATTTGCGCGTAAGATCTTACACCTATATGAATTGGGGAGCACAATGCCTCTATAATATTATACAATTTACTTAGTTTTGTTTATATTGGTGTTAGGACCTCTTGTGAGTCCGAACGGGTAGGTACCACCGCCCCGCCTATTTCTACCGTGAAGCAGTAATGCGTTTCGGTTTGAAGGGCGGGGCAGCCGTTGTACTGTTAAAGGTGAGATCTTATACCTCATGTCTCAAGGTCGGTGGCGGCATTTACGTTGTAGATATCTATGAGCTCTGGTAACCACTTAACATTATCAGGTAGGCCGTGAGCTCGTCCACCCATTTAAGCAATAAAAATTAAAAAAAAAGATCGGAGAATTTGAACACAAATGAAGTCACACGTCGAGTTCCATTGCGCGGCCATATTCAACTAGTCCTGTCTGGTTTATTGCTACTCGTTTACAGAGAAATAGAGTGATCGATACCTCTTATTTATTTTGCACGCACACAGGCGAAATCTCGAAGTACCCTCGCTTGGTTGATGATAACGACAGAATACTTTATCGACGGCTAAAATTTTAAAATTCGCACGGCAGCGTTAATGAATCAATTTGAAGGGTGATAGGGCATTTGGTTTATGCGACATTTCGCTTAATACGCGATGTTTATCTATGTAATTAAATGTCAGTTTTATTTGATATCAGCATCAACAGTTCGATGTTATTTTATTGAACTTCAATTCAATAGCTGAAGAAGTTTTTCTCGTGTAAAGTTGAAAAAGTATCGCCTAAACCCAAACAGCCTTTCAACCCTCGAATTGCAAATTTAAAAATTATCGATTAGTTTTTAAAAGTCAAACTAAAGGGGATTGCCCACTCTCCATAGTGTGCTAGGCCCAAGGTGGACATTAAATATTACTATAAAAATGGACTGATTCAAATTCTTAAATGTATTAGATATCTAAAAATATATTGAAATTGACGCCACTATTATAAAAAATATAATAAAAATAAAAAACTCGTTTTGAGGTTAATTTTCTATATAAATACCTCAAGAACTTTTCTTTTTTTAATGTTTAAGATGTTCCTAATGTATTTTTATCCAATTGTAGTTATTAGGGTATAAAAAACACACATACTTTAAATATCTATATTATTCTATATTTTCTTCATCTTCATACACAATTAGTAAATCATCTAATCATCTAAAAATAGCACAGGAGAGCATATACACGGTTTTAAATCTCGGTCAGGTTAAAACCACAATTCACACAATGGTTTTCAGCCGTAGTATGAAACGTTATTGATAAAAGCAAAATAAATCGAAGAAAAATCAAAACACATCCATTTTGAACGCAAGCACAAGCAGCAAGCGAAGTGTCAGTCAGTCAGATTAAAATCAGTGTTGTCAGTATAAAGAAAAATAATTACATGAAATTCATATATCGATCATTTTTTTAAATAACCGATATTGGATTTATTTCTTAATCTTTTTTTTACGAGTACACATTATATTTTATTTTTTATGTTTTTGTTTTAGTTGTACATATTTAAATAACAATACAAGTTAAGTTTTTTTTTATTGCTTAGATGGGTGGACGATCTCACAGCCACCCTGGTGTTAAGTGGTTACTGGAGCCCACAAACATCCACAACGTAAATGCGCCACCCACCTTGAGATATAAGTTCTAAGGTCTCAAGTATAGTAACAAGTTAAAGTCCAATGGGTATGTCTTTGATGTTATTTTATGTGCTTAAAATCGATTAAAATCGATTGATTAATGATAATATTTAAAATGATTTATTTATATGTTTTTTTATATACTTAAAATGTTTACTTAATACGTAAAAGGTTTTGAAGTTGGCAATATTTTTCCCGCAAAAATAAAATTCTTGTTTTTTTCAATAGAGTTACTTTTTTTAAACTACTTATTGTAAACTGTAGTGGCGCTTATTTGGAAGAAAGTAAATGCATATTTATTTATGACAAAATTAATGCACTAAGTATTTTTTCTCTAATCTATTGTCCGCTTTGGGCCTGAAATGGGCCGTCCCCTTTATTTGGTTCTCGTATAACTTGAAGTGTTGTTACCTCAGGCCGACAAATATAATGAAATGATATATTTCTTACTGCATTACCATTCTCTTATTACATTGCTGTCTTTCTTAGTTAAATATCTGAAAAACTAACTAACTTATCTTCGAGTCTAGGAGTGAGGTCACACCCTAAACACTGTTGATAGGAGGAAACGTGTGGCAAAATCTATGTTAAAGGCATGGAGGGTAGATGTAAGGACCGCTATCTTGTATAGGGGACAAGTTTTATGGGTGAAAGGCCCTCTTGTGAGTCCGCACTGCTAGGTACCACCGCCCTAACTATTTCTGCCATAAAGCAGTCATGCGTTTCGGCTTGAAGGGTGGTGCAGCCGTTGTAACTATACTGAAATCTTAGAACTTATATCTCAAGGTGGGTGGCGCATTTACGTTATAGATGTCTATGGGCCCCAGTAACCACTTAACATCAGGTGGGCTGTGAGCTCGTTGATAAAGTGTACAAACTGTAAATAGCGAGTTATTGTTGGAAGACTCACCGAAATAGCGCTAGTGTAGGAAGTGGAAATGATATCGACGCCTGAAAGGCAAACGTGACTAAGCGACAATGCGTGAACTTTACAGTAGACTAATTTAAAGTTGAAATACATGAAAACAAAATTTATTTTAACGAATCTAGCTGTAGTAGAATCTAGCTAGTAGCTGTAGGATTGAAATGATTTTAATAGACCTAGAAATATATATTTTTTGCGCATCGAATATGGTTATTGCCTATCATCTATGTACAAAGCAGTTATTGTCGCTTAGTCACGTTTGCCTTTCAAGCGTCGATATGAATATAGCAGTTTTGAACAGGGTGGAGTGTGGTAGTCTATGGCGCTGTTTTTTAAATCCTTCCACTTGCTATTGTGGCACCACCTTAATTGGCTCCGTTTCAGCGGACACTTTTTAATACATTTAGACGGTGCTCCTTACTCCCACCTCTCATAGTTAAAGGATGTCGAAATTTCAATACTACCCGCAAATTCCTTCAATACGGTCAAAAAACGTAAAAATGGAGCTCCTATCGAGAACTATATAAATTCGAATCTAGATTTCACGTTAAACTTTTCATCTGCGTAATTCAATGTTTACAAGAATCTTTTGTAAATCTTAGGGCGCTGTGAGATATGACTCCTTCGTACCATCGAGCTTCGTATTCAATGTCGCTATCTTCTGTCAGCAATATGAAATATAAATCTTCAACTGGCCTGATGGCGCTAACGAAATTAGAGAAATATAGAGTTTATAGCCTCCACTAACCACTGTACAGTACCAGGCAATAAATATTGCACATCGATATTTAGAAATTAATGTGTTTTAATTATTCTCTCGATTCCTGTCGGGATATTAGAGCGAAGTTACAAAATTATTGTGTCTGCATCTGTCCTTGATAGCCGATACCACATCCCTAGAATTATCGAGAATATTTCACACATTTCGAGTATTGTGTTTCCGATACCGGACAATAGATGGCGTTGTATTCCTCGAGCGTTCTAGGTGCTACTAGACCCTTCGATATTTGTTCGACTGTTCGTCGATAGATGGCGTTATTCTTACCGACGTAATAGTATAAACTTACTAAGCTAACTAAAACTAATTAGTAGATAGGTACCTAGTTTAAATGTCTGATTCGTAAAACAATTACTAATATACACAGATTACTGGTCATTAGTTCATTTAATGGCTAAAACAAAAACAAGCTCACAAATTAATGGCGGATTATTGATGAGTATTCAACTAAACTAGAGAGAAACGTTCGCGATGGATCGAAAATTATACCATTTTTTACGCTTGATATGTAATGTTTTCATTAACGATGTCCGTGTGATTAGTCGTTATTCTATTTAAGTTAATAATCTTGTATGTATCCATTGCAACTGATGATGAATTATGAATTATGTCGGCTTTAAATGAATTAGCCACTTCCCGTTCCCGCCAATATTCAAACTGTCAACGGTCTTTTTTCTAAACTGAATGTATCATTTAGTATTTATAGTTTTAGATAATTAATTTACGGTCTTCTTTATATTAAGCTTGATATGATTGCTGTATAGATTCATGTGTTTATTTTTGAATTAAAATACTTTTTTGACATTATGTGAGATGTGTTGATTTATTGAGTTAATGTTTTAAACATAGACGAACTTAGACAACTTTAAAAATTGCGAAGTCTAATCGCTTTGTAAAAGTGGCGCATTGCTTTAATTATCGTGGCCGCATCGGTGCTTTTAAGCTCTTCGATTACGACGAAGAGTTCTTCATGCGAACTAGCTGATAGACACAGCCCACTGAGTTTCTCACCGGATCTATTCAGTGGGTCCATGATTCCGATTCGGTAGTAGAAGCCAGCGAAGCACTGCTCTTTCTAGGGGCTAGTGTTAGTAACTCTCAGGTTGAGCTTGTGAGCTCACCTACCGATCCGTGTGTAGCGGGAACAACCCCTTAGGTTATCAGCGATTAGATAGGGAATGATTTAACCAAAAAAAAACCTTGTATTGAGAAGTTCTGATACAGGAATCCTATCGCGATCCTGCTTATTGCTAGCCGAGCGTTAACATTGTCTTATGACGTTTTCGATCATTTCGAAACCGTATCCAAACAACTCAAGTTACCTACTTAATTTAAAGTGTACATTTTTTTCCTATGCTGATAGCCTTGAGAGGTTATTTCAGCTTCATCCTAACATCTAGGTGAGCTCACGGGGCTCAAACCGGAAGTGTTGCTAATACTGACCCTAGCAAGAGCAGTGCTTCGCAGAATCTACCATCGGGTCGCAAACGCGACCCACTGAGATGATCGGGCAAGAAACTCAGTGGACTTTGTCTATGGGTTAATTTACTCGTCGAGCCCTTTGTGGCAAGCGATGGGTTCTACGAGAACGGTGACCGGTAGTTGTGGTACCTAAAAGCACCATTAATAGATCGGGAGGATCCGTAATGACGTGTTTAGGGCGACGTCGACTGTTTACCATTCGGTCTACAGAATCGGGTATGGTATTTCTTAGTCGTTTTGGGATTCGTGTATTTTTCTGAAGACGCCAGCGAACAGCTGATTTTCACCATGACCATCCCACTCATTTCGAAGACTAGCCTCGTGGGAATTGTATTAATGGTCCTTTCTTTAAGATTTTTTTCGGGCAGAGGGTCACGGCTTCCACACTTAGGGTCGCGTTGGATATGTGGGTCTTGATAGTCTGTAAATGTTAGTCGACTGCAGATATTTTGAAAGCAACAACTTTAGGTTAACCACAAAATGATTCCCCTTGCACTCTTCCATCCAACATCTGATCTCCGCCTGGGGTCAGAACCCGGTCAGAATAGGAGAATTCCTGTAGTCAACACTACGACCAGATTTGCGACGTTTCCGCGATCATAGCCCCTTAATCTTCTAAGTCACACCTACTACGCTATTTACACCTTGGCTGCGGAAATAAAATCATAAACCTTCGTAATTTGATACGGCGGCGGGTCGAGATGTGCTCCCAACGATATTTCCACCAGTGCGCGGCATGTCTTTCTGAACCCACCAGCACTAGGGTAGGTTAAAATGCTATAACTTTGCGTAAACATATATGACTGATTTGGCTGGTTCCCTAGTTCTTTTAAGGACGATAATAATATGTGATGCGTCGCTTATGTCATTCTCTTCATCATTATCATTGCTTTCCACAGTGACAGTAATTAAGACTCACTTTTTCAAAGAATAATTTCATTTATTTCATTTTCAAGTATACAACTATAGAAAGCTCCGCTCCGTTCGGCTGCTCGAGTCGGAATGTTTTGTGCGTTTTTTTTTTTCCTACCTAAGCTGATAGCCCTAGGGGCTATGTCAGCGTAACCCTAACTTTAGTAGGTGAGCTCACGGGGCTCAAACCTGGTGACGTTGCTAACACGAACCCTAGTAAGAGCCGTGCTTCGCAGAATCTACCACCGGATCGGAAACGCGACCCACTGAGAAGATCCGGCGAGAAACTCAGTGGGCTGTGTCTGAGAATGTTTTGTGCGATAATAGTCACTCGTATTTATAGTAGAAAGTGGCGGTAGCTTAGTCATGAATCCTCATGAATACCGTCTCAAACAGTTGTTGATATGCGTAATGATAAGGAAACAGTTAATTTTAGTTAACTAAATAGTGAAATTGCACCGACATATTGCACCATTTATAGTATTTAGTTGTCGAACCCATTCAAACACGTGAAATAATCGGTCCGCATCAACGAGAGACATGGTTCTCTTCGTGTTTTTTTTTAGGATTGAAGGATTACTGGTGGGCCGGAGGCCTTTTCAGTTTCACCAGGACAGGTGGGTGAACAAAGGCTCAGCAAAGAGGGGTGGGATTTGCTAACAGCTGCCCGAGCGCCTCCGAAGGAGACCTAACAATTCAAGAGCAACCGTCCGCACCAGCCGAAAGTAAAGCAGCGGGCCGTTACGAGCCTGTTCCGCGTTGAAGGTGTTAAATAAAACACAAATAAATCGAGATAAATACTTTTTTATTTAATATAAATTGCGACTAACCCTAAATGTTTTTTTATGTAAAAAATTGAAAATCTCAAAACGCTAAACTAAATTCTTAGAATCTAAACATTAGTTCGTATTGACGACATAAATTAGCTGAAAATTATTTGATTGTAGGATGTTAATTTGGATATTTTATTGCAAAATCAATTTTCGTTTAAAACACATAAAGAGTATAAATTATTAAATGTTTTACATATTGGCTGCGTCTTTCATTCGACAAAAAAAAAATGCGGTTAAGAATTGAATCTTTAAAAAATCACCAAGGGTGAAAGGCTATTTGGTTTAAGCGACATGTATCTTTGTAATTAAAGGTTCGTTTCATTTGGTATCAGCATCAACAGTTCAACGTTTTTAATTGAACTTCAATTATGTTTACTCCGTTCAAACAGCAAAAGAATTTTAATTAATTTTGTTAAACCTTAGGCAGCGGCTTGGCTCTGCCCCTGGCATTGCTGAAGTCCATGGGCGACGAAACCACTCACCATCAGGTGGGCCGTCTGCTCATCTGCCTACAAGGGCAATAAAAAAACCTTAAATGGCTTATAAAGAATGAATTAGAAAGATTATAAAGACTGCATCAAAAACTCCATGGATTTCATTGGACTTCAATTAAGTTTACCCCATTGAAATAGCTAAAGAAGTTTTTTTGTCATGATATTTAATCCAAATGATTAAGCTTTAAATGGCTCTCCTGTAAAGCTGCAAAAATGTCGCTTCAACCAAATACTCTTTCACCCCTCGATAGACACGGACACAGTTTCTAGTTCTGGGCGCTCCACTTACATTTTCCTGCTTGCTAACGTACATCTAACAGACTACAAGGCTATACTAAAAATACGTGTTTATAAAATTTGGCTAACAATCATTATTGTTCGATACATTGAGGAATCACTAATTCTAAACAGACACTACCAATCTTATATTAAAATAACGTACATATTATTGGAAATATATATCGATGAGTGCTCGTGAGCATCGATGAGTGCTCGTGATCATCGGTGAGTATACACTTCGATTCGGTCTCAAATCTGCGAATTCTTAACCGAGAGGCTCTCAAGAGGCCACCACATCACAACCACTTCATTTAACCCCTCTTATAACTTGAACATCAATGACTTGGCTTCGTGCATCGTAATCTACACTAATACTTTACGGTTGTGATCCAGAGATATAAGAGAGAGGGGGGGGGAGAGAGAGAGAGTGCACCTCGCCATCTCTATCGCACGTTCGTGACTTCACAGGACTCTATCGAGCATAATCTGAATGTAAATTTCTTTGAGAGAGAGAGAGAGAAGGAGAGCGTGCATCCGGTGCATCTCACCATCTCTCGCACGCTTGTGACGTCACAAGACCCTACCGAGCATCCGAATGTAAATTTCTTTGAGGGAGAGACAGAGAGAGTGAGCAAGCACTGCACGCATTTCGCCTTCTCTTTCGCACGTTCGTGACGTCACAAGACCCTACCGAGCATCGGAATGTAAATTTCTTTGAGAGAGAGAGAGCACGCATCTCGGCATCTCTCTCGCACGTTCGTGACGTCACAGGACCCTACCGAGCATCTGAATGTAAATTTCTTTGATTTCAATCGAAACCCGCTCTGTATGTTGTGTATATCAGGGCCTGTACACGTGGAGTCCACGGTCCACAGCTCGGCACGCACAATCCGATGCTCTTGTCAAACTAGTACAATATAAAGGCTGGTCCACACGGGGAGGTTATACGAGAACTCAGCTGTTGTATGCACTAGCTTTATAGCCCTATATCCATATTCGGGTTTAATCGAGACGAGAATTCGTGACAAACAAACAGTCTGTTTTTATTTTTGATATATTAGATATAATACTAATAAGTTTAATACTAAAATGTCATAATAATAATCACATATAATTTTTTTTTAATACATTTTCGATATTAATTTCAATCGATTTTTGTACCTGAAATTGGAAAAATGTCATAAATTAAAAGAAAAAGTAAACACGCTGTATGTAGTGAGAAGGAATTCAGAATGCTATTTTTTTTTAATAATGCATAAAAAAATACATAAAAACAATTAAAAATATACATGTGTGCAATTCACACGTCGTAGAAGTGAAACCTTCCAAAATTAAAATACAATTATCCTAAACGTCTTAAGTATATCGACGCTTGAAAGGCAAACGTGACTAAGCGACAATAACTGCTTTGTACATAAATGATAGGCAATAACCATATTCGATGCGCAAAAAAAATATATTTCTAGGTCTATTAAAATCATTTCAATCCTACAGCTACTAGCTAGATGCTACTACAGCTAGATTCGTTAAAATATAATTTTGTTTTCAGGTATTTTAACTTTAAATTAGTCTACTGTAAAGTTCACGCATTGTCGCTTAGTCACGTTTGCCTTTCAAGCGTCGATATGTAAAATTTGTCATTAGTAAATAATTGTAAGGTAGCGCCCTCTGTGAATTGATATTTTAATTTCACGTATAATCCTAAATTAAAATTCACTACAAGAGCTTTCATACACACGTTAGTATTAAAAAATCTCACAGATGGCGCTGTATTAAATAGTATGTATATTTCTGTCTCATTCTTTGCTGGCTTCATCCTACACATTTTTGTATTTGTGTCTCTTTCTACTGTCGCTTTTTCCGTCGCATCCGGTTTGAAATCACAACGATTCTAAAGAAGTTTTCACTTCAAAAAACATTACACACACTACCATGTATTTGACACAACACATACATAAAAATTACTCTTTGCTTATTGTCCATTGTCAAACCTTTGTTTATTAAGTCTATGGTAAAAATGAGAATGTCTGTCTATAGTGTAGTCTTAGCGAAATCTGTGATTATAGAAGTATAAGGTCCCTGGTGCTGACCTCGCTCAGACTCACCTAGACGCTGTCGGCGGGGCTCTGGAACTCCGCCAGAGCGTGGATCGGGCTTGGTTGCTTCTTCTGGCTGCCGCGGCGGACCTTCGCCCTCACCTCCTCCGGCTTCTCGGGCCTGATGAGGGGCTTCTTCTCGGGGGCCTTCATGCGCCAAACCACTATCGGAGACTGCGCGGGCGGACAGACAAAACGTTCCAAATATAGGTTACATTAGTGCTGCGTAGAGATGGGTCGTACTTGGTAAATCAGATACTAGGTCCACCTGTTTCTAATCTTAAGCAATACCTAATCCACATAATCTTCCTAATCTCATTCACAACCAATACTGTACTTAGTAAGCAATCTCAATCTGCCTATTCCTAATCTCAAGTTCCATCTCAAGATTATACACATTGACAAAATGAGATTAGGTGCAGCCTAATCTCGTAAAATATCTAATACTCGGGTCTGTTCTAATAAATCCGACGCATCTCTAGTGTTGTAGGCTCGTCTGGATCGCTACCACACTCCGACACGTTACGGTCGCGAATCAATTCCGCCTTTCGGTTCCGAGGGCAGATCATAAACTGTTTGGTCAACATAACGGTCTGCAGATGTCGGGAGCAAGCCGCGGGAATCTTCCTTAACCAACAAGCCAACAACTGCTACAGTAGAGCGGGGGCAATCAGGACGCTTTCCAATTCCAACACAAATTTTCAGCGATTTCTCTTAGGGTAATAATACCAATAAATTTGAGATTAAAACGGTTCCTGTGGTTTAAATTTTCATATACAATGCATCAGTGGTCGGAGTAGGTAGATTGATTTTATATACTTGCGTCAAGATATTATAATATGGACATGACATTTTATCCATAAAGAATATTTTTTTAAATAGAAAAAATATTTTTTTAATCCTCATCGGATACAATTTCTGTATTTATGATATATAGTAACGCCCTGTCTAAGTTTTGCCTCATACTGACAAGCGTCATTTCTAATTCAACAGAAAGAGACAAAATACGATGTAACTATCCAAGGGGTTCTGATTTCTTTCACTATTAGCTAGCACTAGTAGCGTAGATTAATATTATAAATACGTTTTTCACCTTATTAATATTATAAATTAGTTTTTCACTTTAAACACATATTCATGCTAATTTCAAAATTCCGGAACAAATATCACAATAAATATGAAGTTGGGTATTTTGGAGGCATATCCATATTATCCTCTACGTTTGACGTCAACGACCTTAAATCAATCTACCTACTCCGACCTCTAATTATTATACATAGTTCATTGAAAAATATACACGAAAATTTTAAAAACTTGCTTGACCTAATCCACCTTGGCTTTTGGGCTGAATCGGGTCACGTATGGGACAATAGAGTTTTTCGATAGGGCTGGCACTGTTTAGTTGTTAGCTAGGTAATTAACTTTTCAATATCCTTTAATCAGTTACAACACTCTGATGACTAAATTAAACTATTTAATACTGTAAAACACTAAATAAAATTTCTTTTCGATTCAACAAATTTAAATTTCACAAAAGGATTGTGACAACCCAGATTTGTTCCTTTTCCCCCAGTTTACTGCACATACCTTCTTAAACTAACAAATCTAATTCTTTAATAATAATATTAAGACACGTCAAAAACGTAAGGATTTCGGGTCCTACTAAAATCAACTTTATACGACTGCTTTAAATATACATTTAACGCATATATACATATATAACTGGTGGTAGGACGTCTTGTGAGTCTGCACGGGTAGGTACCACCACCACCCTGCCTATTTCTGCCGTGAAGCAGTAATACGTTTCGGTTTGAAGGGTGGGGCAGTCGTTGGAACTATACTCAGACCTTAGAACTCATATCTCAAGGTGGGTGGATGGCATTTACGTTGTAGAATTCTATGGGCTCCGGTGACCACTTAACACCACGTGGGCCGTAAAATCGTCCTTTCATCTAAACAATTACATACCAGACACGCCCTGCGGTTATGCCCGCGTAAAATATTCTTTTAAGCAAGAATTAAATACGTCGACTTGGCATCGCAACAAACGGTCTCTCAGACCCTGGGTCTGGTGGATTACCGCTTATTTTCCATTCTCTCTTTCACTCCCAAGCTCCTTACGTTTCTGACGTCGACAACACTAATATCCACTTTACAAATTTACAGACTTACATAGTTCTGTGACGAGATACGGAAAGCATTACAAAAAAAACAAACAAATACATAAACAATACATACATAGATAAGACTATTAATGTAAGCTTAAAGTAAATTAGGCGAGTTCTTTAAGATTATCTGATCGATCGAATTCGATGTTGGCTTAGGCACGAGTCGGTTCTCCGCCAATCGTATGGAAACATTCCGAAGTGGGTACCATAGATTAATAATAATAATAATAATATATCGAGAGGTGAAAAGCGATTTGGTTTGAGCGACGTATCGCTTAATAAGCGACATTTATCTTTGTAATTAAAGCTCCGTTTTATTTGATATTAACATCAACAGTACGATGTTTTTTAATTGAACTTCAATTAAGTTTATCGCATTCAAATAGCTTAATTTTTTTTGTCTCATTTTTTTTGCCATTTGAAAACGGCTCTCTGTAAAGTTGTAAACAAGTCTCTTAACCCAAATAAGCTTTCACCTGTCGATTAGTAATCCAATTATCGACAGACCAATAGATTGTCTGATTCGAAATAGAACACACTGTATATTGGCAGAGATATTTGAGGCGTAGAGAATTATTTTGAATTTTACAACACTAAAATTGCGCCAAGCGCTTTGAGGTATGAGGTCAAAGTGTCAGTTACAAATTTTACATGACATTTTTATTACTTTATGCAAATTTAAAGGACACATTTTTTAAAACCCTCGACTTAACCCGTAAAGAGCTTCGACCGTTCTTTTTGGATTCATACAGTTTAATTAGAGTTTTGGGTAAGTGGCAGCATTTACATTGTACATGTCTATGGGCTCCGGTAGCCACTTAACATCAGGTGGGCCGTGAGCTCGTTCACTCACCTATGCAATAAAAAAATATAAAAGTTCAGCACCATCTAGCGGAGGCTTTCGTGATTCTGCTTCCAGAAGATAAGCTTCTCTTTTTGGTCTCCTACCTAAGCTGTCCCTGAAAAGATCCGACTTAAAGCTCAGCGAGTAAAAGCTCACTGTCCTCTACTGAGCACGGCTCAAAGCTCGCCCTGGAGCCGCAGTCCTGCCTATTGCTACTACTACACTCACCGCGATGGTCCCCTGGCGGGTGTACTTGGTGGAGGCGACGTACGAAGCCTTCACGGTGAGCACGACCGCATTCATCAGGTTCTTGGCCGCCTGGATCAGGGACGTCGCGCTGTCCAGCTGCACACACACACACACACAATAGTAAGCGTCAGGTGGGAGCCGAGGGGGGGCAGAGGGGACGGAGGGGGCGGAAAGGGACCGCGCATACTGACCCCGCTCACGATGAGCTCTCCTGATATGTTCTGCACGTCCGCCTTCACCTTGCTGGTTATTTGTATCTGGTGGCAGTACAGAGCGATCCGTTGGAGGTAGGCGAGCAAGTCTTGTTTAGTAGAGGATTCGGGACACTGAAAAAAACAAGAAATTAAGTAAGCAAGGGCTAAAGAAGACTATGCTCACCAACACTCATGAACGCTCATGAATACTCACAAAGGATCACGCGTCCCCAGAGTACAAAAGCTTAAACTCACCTGTTCGGCGATCTCCCTGGTCAGCTTATCCAGTTTGGTTCCGGCTTCGGATATCTTCTTGGCGGCGTTTATTACGTCCATGGTGGTTTTGAGGGGGCCGCGACCTCTGCGCTCGGAAACACCATAAAGGTAATTTTTTTAAGTATTGTTATAACGTAAAAACGTAATAATAATAAGATCCGGCACGGATGGGCACCACCGTCCTGCCCATTGCTGCCGTATCATGACGGTTTAAAGAGCGGGACGGTCACGTTCGACCTCACGCCTCACGGTAGTCAACGGCTTTCTGGTCCTCTCGATCGTGGCTCCCGATGCTAATGCTGAAAATGTCACTAGCGCGATTCGCATACACACACACCCACCTCGTGAAGTCTGTCATCTCGAGCATGATCATGCACATGTGCTTGGCGAGCATGATGATGTCGTTGCCGGCGTCGTCCCACTTGGCGACCTCGTTGTCGAACGACATCTTCTCGCGCCTGAACAGCTCGACTTGCTGCAGGATCTTCCTCTTGTCCTCTTCGGTCATTTTACGCATCGCTTCCTGGAAGTGAAACGGGCGATCGTCAGGTCGGGGATCAGATTTACGGTCACGGCTCTGCTGTCCAGGTGGCAGAGCTCATGGTGCCCGAAGGGAAGTTAATCTGTCTTGGATCTCGTAGGAGACGTAGGAATTTAGACACAAACTTCCCCTCAAGCAAAGTGGGAACCAATGAAAAGCGAGAACAGCAACCGAACTATTCATGGACCTTTTTTTTTTCTATCTAAGCTGATAGCCTTGAGGGGCTATATCAGCATAACCTTAACTAGTAGGTGAGCTCATGGGGCTCAAACCTGACGACGTTGCTAACACGAACCCTAGCAAGAGCCGTGCTTCGCAGAATCTACCACCGGATCGGAAACGCGACCCACTGAGAAGATCCGGCGAGAAACTCAGTGGGCTGTGTCTGAGGGTTAATTTACTCGTCGAGCCCTTCGTCGCAAACGACGGGTTCGACGAGAACGATGATCGGTGCTTGAGGTACCTAAAAGCACCGTTAGTGGATCGGGAGGATCCGAAATGACGTGTTTGGGGCGACGTCGACTGCTTTCCATTCTGTCCGCAGGATCGGGAATGTAGTTGCCGGCGGCCACGATTAGAAGGTCCTCGTGTCGTGCCGCTTTATCGAAATGGTTCAAGGACCGATATCCAAGAGTCAATATGGCATTGATCGTGCTATAATTACTGCGTCTGTTTCCTTGAACGGATTACTTCTCGAGATGGAAGGGTCGAAATTGACCGGTGTTAATCAACACACGTTGGGTGCACTGTATTGTGAGGTCACAACCCAATAAAAGACTTAGTTAGGCTTCCGAGATACCCATTTAAAGGACCTTAGGCATCCTCACAGGTGACGCGGGCCGTCGCGGGCCCCAAATGAATTTCCAGTGAAGTGCGATCACGTTTCACCGTGACCGGAAAACTAGTTGCACGAAAATCATCGATTCCTCGAAACAACTCGTGCGATATCTATCTATCGTCAGTTGATGATTCTCTTCCCTAGAGCACCAGTCGCGGCTGTATCAAGCTTCATTGCAATCGTATGAATGCGTTTAAGATCATATCCAAGACAAACAAACAAACAAACACGATACAGAGTTGCAGAGAAGCAGGACTTTAAGACTTCAGACAACTTAGTTCCGAGCTTTTCGGCATTAAACGCCGGCTCCAAAACTCTTAATTACACGCACCATCCCACCAGAAATATCGTCTCCATAAAAGGGATTGTATTACGCGATCTTATAACTCACTTGTGAATTTGAGCTAGGTACGTATTTCATCAGAAAAACTGGTATCTGCCTGCGGGATACGAACGTACCGGACTTCTTATCCATTAGGCCAAATCGCTTACAATTAGCATAGAGTATTATAATTAGCGTAATTACTGGTGGTTAAACGTCTTGTGAGTCCGTACGGGTAGATACCACCGCTCTGCCTATTATTGCCGTGAAGCAGTGATCCGTTTCGGTTCGAAGGGTGAGGCAGCCGTTGTAACTATACCGAGACCTTAGAACTCATATCTCAAGGTGGGTGGCGGTATTTTCGCTGTAGATGTCTATGGGCTCGGGCAACCACTTAACACCAGGGGAGCTGTGAGCTCGTCCACCCGTTTAAGCAAAAAAATTATTAAAAAAGTTAGGTACTCACCCTGGCGTTAGTGATGCCGCTAATGTCCGGGTACTCGTCGACTCCGTGCTCGCCCGTGTGAGCGCTCGCTGTTCGAACAAACATTACGATCTCAAATCTCGATGGGGGGACGCAAGCTAAGGCATCATCAGAGCCGAGCAGCGTCGCGACGCATGTCGTCATACGATGCTCAATCAAAAAATCAACAGCATTTTTTTTTTGTCTCAAGTGACGTCATATTGTGTTGAGGGCAGAGGATCCTCGTGACCACGATATCTATGGGCGTTCATCACTTGCCAAACTCATTTTTCTTCAGTTTAGTATCCGGTTTAAACCTCCCCCTGCTCGACCAAAGGATTGAGGTCAAATAGGCAGGCTGGCCGGGCAAAGGTAAGCCAAGCCCGCATTTCATGATGCCTAATCAAAAATTACTGCGCAGATAATAGGAACATTTTATACAATCAACAAAAATAAATTTCGAACTAAAAACTAGATCTAGTCACAACAATTAGGCCCAATTTTAGACACAAAGCATGCTCGACGTCCGTAGACATCTTAATATTTAGACACGGCATTTTCTGATGGGGCAAAGGAACGTAATGTTCATCTCTACCTTATTACGAACTACGTTATTACCGCTGCCGTGTGCGAAAGAGAAAGAGAAGCCAGACAGACTGGCGCCGTAATGCGTTACGTAACGAAGCGGCTTACCCTCCCATAAAAAGTTATGAAATAAAAAATTTGCGTATTTATCAAAAACAAATTTTTACTCTAAATTTCAGGCGCCACATCTACTGTTAAGTAGTTAAATTGATATGACAGCGACAGAATTAGCTAACCTGGACATGCTTTAGTTAAATATCGCTTTGAATATCCTCGAATCGAACTTCAAAGACTTTAAGAACTTTGCCGCACCAAAAATGCCGCGTTTCACCATCGAGATACTCACATCGGCTCCTCGTCTCCATTGTCATGTCCTCGACCGGCTCAAACTCTGTGTCCGTGTCCAAATCGTCACTGGTCTAACATGCAGCGAACATGCAATTCACATCAAACATTGTAACCCAAATTTTATATAGGCGAAATCATAGTATGATTCGAACGCGGCTCGGAGACAAAGTCGATTCAAGCCAGATGAGTTTTTTTAATGAGAACAGGCTAGAACGCCGGCGAAAGAATTCCTCGTTATCAGTAAACTAGGACCTTGTTATGGTCTCTTGTTTGAAGTTGCCAATATGAAGGACCTGATCTGTCACATCACATTTCCAAAGTTAATAACTTCAAGGATTCTTTAGCGTCAACTGGGCAGAAGCATCTTCTCTCTTATAGCGCGTCCCGTCAACATCATACCGGAAACTCCTCTAGACCAAATCGACCTAAGAACAGGTTTAATCTCGTGCTCCTTTGATTATGGCGAATCCTGAGCCCACATGGCTCCCATCAATTCTATCAACAAAGCATTTTAGCTTCCAATGTCGCAGTTATTACTGCGCGACCGATAATTCCGGTTCGATTTAAGCTCTATTATAAAAAAGCACGAGATTAAAAGCTCCACTCGACGCGGGGAGCTTTCTCAGAACTTTTCGTCCGAAACGAATCCCCGGGGAAATTTTAAACAAAAACATTTGGGTCACATTTGTCTAACGAACACAAAATGAGATGAATGTTTTTTAAACAAACTTTTAGTATTAGTCAGAAGTACGTTCTATTTGTTCCGTAAGAGGAGGTAATTCAAAAACTTCTCATTTTCTACGAAAAAACTAATTAGATGCTTTATTTATGATCACCAAATTGCCCCCTCCACTCCTTTGATCACAAATGAGTGGATTACGGCTTTTTATACTATACTCTCAAAGCACTAAAGGTGCTTATTTTTATTATTACGTATTTTGTGACGATGTAAAAATAATCCTGCCTCTTTTAGAACATGGGAACAGTACAAACGAAAACGCTGAAAGAAAACATGCTTTAATGGTACCACATGACAGACGACACGAAGCTTTCACAAAAGCTCATATTACTTATGAACGCTCACATTTGCTTCTCGTCTCCAGAGTATACTGTTCATCTAGATCCACGTCTTCGGGATCCAAATCTTCTTCATCCTGAGATCATAATGTTTTTTCTGGATTCGAACCTTCATTATCAGTTCACGGTTTGAGGATTTAATTGCATTTGACCTCGACCTCATGTTTCAAGGTCTATAGATTCCGGGAACCAGCGAAGAAGTTAACCTTTCTGAGGACCACGGCCATAATGATAACGAAAAGATCTTATTACAGCCTCTTCGCTACCTAAATAGGACATTGTGTGGAAGGAGAAAGGATTTACAAATACCAAGCACAAGGGTAGGACATAACAGACCAGCACCGCGCTACCCCGAGTGGATGTTACTCTGTCAGGGTACAGTGACGTCTCCCTATATCGATCCAGCCTGTCTTAAATCACCTTATACGCTATAGTGTCTATGGGGAATGCGACCGCTTAACCCAAGATCGAGGTTCACCCAGATACGTAGGAAAAAATAAAAAAGTGCTAAAGTGCCTAAGATAATGTATCTTTGCCTGAAGTAAGACTAACTTAGTCTCCGATACAATGCACAAGTGATTCCCACATAACTGAATCGGGAAAACAATTCATGATCGTTTTTTTTTTCTTTAAATCAGGGCATGTTGGATGTTTAGGATTTCGGGATGCTGATGTAGCCGGCGAAGCTAACCTAAAGCTGATGAAGGTAGGTTATCTGTTCTAGTTATTTGCTGTCTAGTACTAGACATACTAGTCTCTGTACTAGTCAGTCTGCTGAACGCTGTGTAGATCCCCGCTACGACTATTCCCTGAGCGAACACTCACCCGGTTCATGAGCACCGCCCGGCGTATCTCCCGGACGGCGTCATAGACGAGTCTAGACGCGTCTATGAAGTCGTTCTCGTCTAGGGCTCCGCCGGCGCCGCCTCCCAGCGCCGACACGGCCGCGTCCACGCGCACCGCGAACTTGGACATGACTGGAATCGTAAAAACTACTCCTTCAAAATCAATTCACTATTATTTTTATTTTATTTTTTCGTACCTTGTTGATAGCCTTGATATGCTATACCAGAATTAACCTAGCGTGTAGGTGAGCTCTCGGGGCTCAAGCCGGAGGTGTTGCTAACACGCTCTAGCAAGAGCAGTGCTTCGCAGAATTTACCGCCGGATCGGAAACGCAACCCAATGAGAAGATCCGGCGAGAAACTCAGTGGGCTGTGTCTGTGGGTTAATTTAACCTCAAAGCTCTTCGTCGCAAACGACGGTTCCGGCGAGGACGGTGACTGGTACTTAAGGTACCTAAAAGCACCCTTAGTGGATCGGTAGGATCCGTAATGACCACAATTACCGTTCAACCAAGTTTTAATGGAACATTTTTATCGAATATTTTTTTAAATTGCAGTAATAGGTTTTTTTTATTGCTTAGGTGGATAGACGAGCTCACAGCCCACCTGGCGTTAAGTGGTTACTGGAGCCCACAGGCATCTACAACGTAAATCCGCCACCCGTCTTGAGATAAAGTTCTAGGGTCTCAAGTATAGTTACAACGGCTGCCCCACCATTCAAACCGAAACGCATTACTGCTTCAGAACAGTAATAGGCATGGTGGAAGTCAATCGTGAACATTTGTCAAGCACGTATTTCATTAGAGAAATTGGTACCAGCCTGCGGGACACCAACACCCGGCGTCTTATCAATTAGGCCGTAAGGACTTCAATAGTCGCAAATTCTATTGCGTTTCATAATAACTTTCTCACGTGAGGTCGACCAGCCTTAGATCTTCGAGCATTATGAATATGCAAATACGATCTTGAGGTCGAATTACGTTTCTAAGTAACCACGAGAGGTCAAAGTTCAAGAGACTCCCATTAATATTTACCTATTCAAGGGTAATTAGGCAACGTGTTAAATAAAAAATCGATCGCAGAACCGTAAGGTCGTAACGTCAGGAATGCGCTTGTTCGAAGGAAAATGATTTTAGTGTCGTATTCTTTTAAAAGTGTATTTCCTGAATATCGAAATACACAAAAAATGTTTTGATTAAAACAAACAATTCGGAGGTGCATGTTTAGAATGCGCCGAAAAACGACTCGGTGACAGCCGAGCCGAGGGTCGTGGGCTCGATTCCTGCATCGGGCAAACATATTCATGCGACGACATATCCATTGTCCGGCTGTTTAATGTTTATACATGCATAATAATCGAAGAGCTTAACGTGGCAACATCGAGATATATCATCTCGTGGTGGAGGTGGCTTCTAAGCCCGCGGAGGGGGACCGCGGTCTGACCTAATTCTGCTGCGTCTACTCTAAATTCCCTAGTTCATTATTTATTTATTGCTGGTGGCAGGGCGTCTTGTAAGTTCGCACGGGTAGGTCCCACCACCCATTTACGTCGTAGGTGTCTATGGGCTCCGGTAACACTTAACACCGGGTGGGCCGTGAGCTCGTCCACCCATCTAAGCAAAAAAAAAATTCAAACGCCTTCAAGGCTGAGCACAGAGAGACATCTCTCGCATTACTCTGTTCTGTCTTTCTGTCACGTGCAATCCGGTGAGAGATTTGGCACCATCGTTCTCATAGCCGAGCGTGTTATAAATACATTCTTTGGATGTTTACGACGGTACCCTGGACAGCTTTACGCGGGATCTCTGCTACCGTGACCTCATTTGCTGAGCTTGTTGGTAATATGTAAGTAATCGTTTGGGCGTTGTGTCCCCCTGCCCGGGGAACCGTTCATAGCAGCGGACTATAAGATAGGCCAGCAGTGGAGAGATACAATGCGCCGGTCACCGTTCTCGTCGAACCCGTGGCTTGCGACGAAGGGCTCGGCGAGTAGATTAACCCACAGACACAGCCCACCGAGTTTCTCGCCGGATCTTCTCAGTGGGTCGCGTTTCCGATCCGGTGATAGATGCTGCGAAGCACGGCTCTTGCTAGGGTTCATGCTAGCAACGTCAGGTTTGAGCCCCGTGAGCTCAACTACCCGGCCGGTGACGCTGATATGGTCTCTCAAGACCATCAGCTTAGGTAGGAAAAAAAGATACAATGCGTATAGTAAATATGTAGTGATGTGTAACAACATTAGAGAGAGAGAGAGAGAGAGAGAGAGAGAGAGAGAGAGAGAGAGAGAGAGAGAGAGAGTATTCTTTATTGTACACCAAAAAACAAATAAACAGTGCGATACATTAAAAACAAAAAAGTACAATTGGCGGTCTTATCGCTAAGAGCGATCTCTTCCAGACAACCATCAGGTGGACAAGAATCATTTGGAAACGAACTACGCGCGGTGTACCATTCCAGTGAAATACATATACATATATGTACANGAGAGAGAGAGTATTCTTTATTGTACACCAAAAAACAAATAAACAGTGCGATACATTAAAAACAAAAAAGTACAATTGGCGGTCTTATCGCTAAGAGCGATCTCTTCCAGACAACCATCAGGTGGACAAGAATCATTTGGAAACGAACTACGCGCGGTGTACCATTCCAGTGAAATACATATACATATATGTACACATATATATACACATACATATCTCCGTAAATATACATACAATCAATACAAAGTATTATAATATAATAATAATTATTAACAATAAAAATAAAAAAAATAAAATTAAATTTAAATTTTGCTTCTTTCATTATATTTTCGTAGCAAAATATTTCCCTAACGCTAACGCGTGGTACTTCACTGCGTACTCTCAATGCCGAAGTTCGTTTCGCCGTGTTTATCTTTCATTACAAATGCGATCATTGGAGAAGCTCGTATTTATAAAGAGCCGGGTCAGACCGCCATCACTCATTGGGACGGTGATCACTCGAAAGAATGGTGAGTTTTGTTTTAAAACCGTAGGCAATCTTATTGAAATCTATATATTAATACGTGAAGTAAGAACTTTGTACCCCTTTTTTCGAAAATTGCGCGGACGGATCACTATAAAATTTTCTAAACTTATAAAGAACTAGCGGCCCGCTCCGGCTCCGCTCGGGTCTTTAACAAAAATTTCAACGATATTTATTTTTTTAAATAAAATAACACCTATTGTCCTATTGTAATAATGCTGTCGTGACACTTTTTGTAAATATTAATGTGTTCTACAAAGTCGTAGTACATTATTTTATTCTATCGTCAATCGTTTTCGCAGCGCACGCGATGTATAGTAACCGGCAAACTTCGTGAGCAAATGACCTTGACTGCGCAGAACCGAATTTTAGATCACTTTGGTGGTGAGGGTGAGGCGCGACGGCAGGGGAAATCGTATCGAGCGCGTTATTGGTAGAATCTGGTAGATCAGTCGAACCTTTCGTCCCGCACCGCGCCTTCGTTCCGCTTGCTCCCAAAAGTACGCTTGCGTACAGTGAAAAGTCTATTAATATTAATCGTTGAAGTTATTTGTTATAATTATTATTGTTTGTTGATTTTGTTGTTATTGCTATTTGTTGAGTGTTTCTTGATTTTTTATAAAAAATATACTATGCCACGTCAAACTGGTGTAGTATTAAAAAGACAAGCTAGAAAAATGGTGTACGACGTATATTGCTTTCTTAAAAAGCAGGGAAATAATGATATGGAAACGGTAAAAGAGACTTCAGAGGCAACAAAAACATCAGTCAGTACTGTTAGGCGTATTATTAATGAAGCGAAGGGCTCTAACTTGCTCGCCGTGTTTCGTACTCCAGGTAAAAAAAGATCAGGGAAGAAGAAAGTTACCGGAATTGATAGTTTCGACCAATCTGCAATAAAAAGATGTATTCATAATTATCACATAACAAACAGCGAACTTCCTACCGTCGAAAGACTTCGTAAAAAATTGAAAGAAGATATAAATTTTAATGGCTCGGAACGAAGTTTACGACGAATTATGAAAGAGCTAGGCTTCAGATGGAAAAGAACAGAAAATAATCGGAAGCTATTAATTGAAAAAAGTAATATTCGACTACTAAGGATCGAATATCTCCAAAAAATAATTAAATATAGGCAAGAAGGAAGACCGATAGTGTACACCGATGAGTCCTATGTCGACTCATCACATGCAAGTGGTATGTCGTGGTCAGATGGATCAACTGGGGGTTTAAAAAAACCAATTTCGAAAGGACAGCGTGTAGTAATAGTGCATGCTGGCTCCGAAGATGGATTTGTTCCCAATGCCCTTCTTTTGTTTAAAGCTGGCACAAAATCTGGTGACTACCACGATAACATGAACTATTTGAACTACGAAAAATGGCTGCGTTGTCAATTGCTACCAAATCTGCCACCAAATTCCGTTGTAGTAGTCGACAATGCGTCATATCACAATAAACAGTCTGACCCCGCCCCAACTGCCAATGCCAAAAAAGTCTATATGAAGAAATGGTTACAAGAAAAAGAAATTCCATACGATGAAAACATGTTGAAACCCCAGCTTTTTAGCTTGATTAAAGCACATAAGGAACAACACAAAACATACAGCATTGATAAAATTTTATCAAACCACAACCATTCAGTGCTTCGCTTACCTCCATACCATCCAGACCTCAACCCAATTGAAATGGCTTGGGCAGCTATTAAAGGGTATGTCAGTAGCAAAAATGTCAACTGGAGCACTGGCAAAGTAATAGAGCTAGTGAAGGAAAAGGTCGCGGCGATGGGTGCTCCGGAATGGGGTAGATTATGTCAAAAGATAAAAGAGATTGAGGCGGAGTATGTAAAAAGTGATCATGTGGTAGATTTAGTCACTGATGAGTTTGTAATTTTTGCTGACGATGATTGCGACACGGATGAAGAAAGTAGTGATGATGATGATGGTCATGATTATGATAGCGAAAAAACAATTACAAATACCAGCTCAGCTTCAGCTGATCCAAGACCTGGCACCAGCTCTAGTTTTGACCTAATGGAAGGAATATCTATTTTACCCCTAGATTAAATTACTACAATTATTAACCTGTATTTTTTGTTCATGTACTAATAAATATATAAATAAATACAT